ACAGCTGACAAAAAAATCGCTTTCTTCCTCCAGGGAACCTCACATTTCTTGAAAATATTTATAATGAGGTTTTTGATAAACATAAAATTTTGCTAAATTTTGAAGTAAAACTCATTCTTTGGGTATTCCAAAGAGCAAAAGCATTTATGAACATGATTTAAATTTTTGGAAAATTGGAATTTTATTGAGATTCCCTTTATTTTTTCACATTGATTATCTGTTAATTTACCCAGAGCTTTAATTAAAAACATCACAGTCTAAGAGAAACCACTTTCTCTAGAATACGTAGTTCATTATGATAGTAACATTGTGAATTGGAAAATTAAAGGAAATTCCATCAAAAACACTTGAAAGAGTAGGAGAAAAGTTACAAGTTCAACAAACGCAAAACAGCGGCAGCAGATGTTCGATGACTCTGTTTTTCGTTTCAAATACAAACCGTTATCATAGAAAGCAGGGGAAATTTGTGTGTATAGGGATTATGCGGAAAACACGAGGGAATGTCAGGGAACAGGTGGTCACGTGAGCAGCCGGTGGAGAAACGAGACTGGGGTCAGAAATATAACAGATGGGTCACGAGCAAGGCTTTACCATTAAATAAAAAATAGGCGTGGAATACCTGTTGGGGCCATCTAAAAATACAAAAAGGTCACTTTTCTTTATCCGAAAAAGCTCGATTTTTACTGGTGGAAGTCTGGCGTGCAATTAAGTTGCATCAAACTATTTCGAAAATTGTAAATTAGTTATTTTTATTTACTTTATTTTAACAGACTTTTATTTACTAACACACTCACAGAATCAGAAGTATATGTTGTAAAAAATGTATGCTTAAAATCAGTGGTTCCCAAACTTTATCTTTTTACGAATCCCTTCTATAATATGAATGAAAATGGTTGAACCATTTTGCAGTCAGTAAAAAATAAGGAAACAATGAATTTGATAGAATATTTGCTTTTTGAGACGTACAATAATGAACAAGATACGAAAACATAAGACATGAAACATAAAAGTAGATGACAAGTAGGAGAAAAAGACAGTTATAAGACAAAAACTAAAACATAATCGTAAAGCATCTTAGTACGAAATTTACAAAATAAAAATAACAACAAACGAAAGAACATGAAATTAATTCAATAAACCAACTGCTTCCTAATTTAATGTACGTTTGATTTGAAAAGACTTCTGATTATGTATGAGTGCCTATTTGGTAGAACAAAGAAATAGTTCTATGTCTGAATAGTTTGTGATGGATCAGATTTTGCTGTTATCTTATCAGGCAAGTTTAGGAATACGTCCAAAATCCTTCCTCACTTTTCTTGACTAACTCTGGGCAAGAAGTCAATTAAAGAGAGCTCTTTGAAGAAGACTGTTATAGGATAATTCATTTTCTTTTTTCCCAATAAAATTAGAAGGGACTCCAAACCTAACTTTAAAAGAAACCTATTATAAAAAAGTTTAATAGTGATGCGTTGCTTATAATAAAAAAGTAGTCATCAAAAAGAAATTGTTTTTTCAGATGTGCGCATAGATATTCATTTTGATGTTTTCCTCCAGCCTATTTGATTTTTTAGATAAAAATAGTAGTAATAATAAAATTGAAGGAGCCAAAATATTCCTACCTATTCCTTTGCAGGATCCGAAAGTTATACATCTTAGCATTGCTTCATGTCATGCACATAAAAATTGCTAAATTTTGCGCTTTGTAATGGAAGATTTAAATCAAAAGATGTCGAATAAGCACAAAAAAAAATAATAATAATAATTCAATCAAAAAATATAAGCGTATAAAAGAGTCAATGAAATGCATGATCGAGAAGAATTATTGTAATTTATGTAACAATAATGAATTCTCATAAAAATTTCCAGTTCTAAAGTGCAATTAATATTTGTATGTGATTTTATGATTAAATTTTTTCTCATGTTAGCCATTTAAAACTATGAACCGCCGGTTGAGAAACATTGTTGCAAATCGTCCATTCATTGAAGATTACCCGATTATTTGTTAAAGAACGTATATGATTTAAATTGTGTAGTTTTATAATTAAAGCAGAGATTTACTATTTACGACGAAGAAAAATATAATATCACTAACTCCTTATTACATTATTGCGTTTGTCACGGAACAAAAAATCATTATAAATTAACGATAGCACTAGTAATTTATGCAAATGAAGAGTGCACAGAGAGCAAAATAAAAAACTGAATACCCTGAATAACTTTTGATCTAACAATCGGATTTTCACGAAGCAAAAATCAAACGTAATGGTTCGAAAGTCTCAACTTATATTCTAACAGTGCAGACGATATTTTAAGTTAGGAAATCAGACATACATTAAAATAGAAAAACTGAATAACTTTTGATCTAACGACCGGATTTTCACGAAGCAAAAATCAAACGTAATGGTTCGAAAGTCTCAACTTATATTCTAACAGTGCAGACGATATTTTAAGTTAGGAAATCGGACATAGATTTTCTTTTAATAAACATACCATTTTTTCGGTAAATTCGGGTTTTCGACCCTCCAAATATAGGAAGTATCCGCAATCTAGGTGGCAATAGTTTGATTAGGTGAGCGATCTAAAGTTTCGACCCCTTAATACTAATCTTACTTTTTACGTATTTCGCCAGATCTCGCGAACTTTAAAAGCAAATCGAAAAACATTTGTACACAATTATAACATTCGTTTATCTACGACGATTTTTTTAACAATTATTTTATTTAATAATAATCGAAAAAAATTGAATTATAGGGTATACAAATTATTACACCATTGGCGATCGAAATGGGCTACAGGTGACATAGAGCAAAACTCTCTACCTTTTGCGATACTTCGAATGCTATCCCCATTAGCGTGTGGAGAGTCATAGGAGAAGGAAGTGTGTTAGTTTCTGTCTTGATTTTCAATTGATTAAAAATAAAATTTAAGTTTCGAAACTATATGGAAATTAAAATTACATTGAACATAGTTCTAAAAGAAAGCATCGGGGGAATTTTAAAACATGTTTTTGACATTTAAATATGAAAAATATTAAGAAAGGGCAAAATATCATAGTACATTCCTATACAACTGAAAAGAGGAGATGGTCAAGACATGGAACCGGTCTTCTCCCCAGATGACCAACTACAAAATTTGGACGAAACCGGTCAAATAGCTAAGTGAAATCAAATTTTAAATATACGAAATTTGATGACTCGGAAACTATTTGATTTACATGAAATTATCTTTGAATAAACGAATTTTATAATTCTATTCGCTTCAAAAATTCTCGTGACACTGTAAAACACGCAAAAGGGGTCCAAACTTTTGACCGCTTTCCTGTCCAAACTATTGTAACCATATTTTAAAGGTCAGCAATCCGAATCCGTCGCAAAAAGAGGTATAAATTCATGGAAAGAACATTTTTGTGCCTTATTTTCGTAATTTAATATAGCGTTAGCAGAAATTAATTAAAATATTTAAGATTAGGCCCACAGACCATTAAGTCTTAGCATGGAAAAATCTGATGATTCGATCAAAAATTAGTCAGAATGTTACCTTTTTCTTTCTCGCTCTCCCACCGAAACCAAGCATCACTGCCTGCGGTCAGTAAGCGGGTGGGTGACCACTTTGATCAGCCTGTGTAGGGACCGAGGGTGCGTGGTATCGGCCCTCATTAAACTGTTCTAACCCTAAGTGCTCGACTTCACGCGCAGGTTGTCGGGCTTCTAAAGCAGAGGAGTCATCCCTTCTGCAGAGGATCAAAATTGTAATGGCATGTCTTCGGATCATCCCAAGAAATGTTTCCCAGACCGTCGCCAATAGCTCATTGTGCAGCTCTACCTTTCTCTCTGAACAATGTACACTTTCTAACTCTATGTCACAGTCACAATACGCATTCGGGCGGCGTTTTTCGAATTAAATTCAAGGACACGATGAACACATAACAACTTTTACAATTAATTTTTCTAAAAGAAAAATATGTCTGAAATACATTATATCGAATTATATAAAAAATAAACAAATAATAATCTCTATATAGTATAATATGCATGTATGTTCGCTAATAATTCGAGAATGGGACAACCGTTATAGTTAACAGATTTTTATGAGGTGGTTTGTAAACAATGTTCTCTTTACAGCAGCATGCAGTTTTTTCAACAGATTAAACTTTTCTCCAAATCTTTTGAATGCTTTCATCAATTGACATGGCGTTTTTCGTTACTAATTGCTAACATTTTCTTTTTTGATCATTTTGTGATATTTTCCATCTCTCTGAGTTGAGTTGTTTGCATTCATTCTTGAAAAATGTGACTTAAATAGAAACTATTAACCTTAACAGAAACTATTTTTGCGTTATTAACGTATTTTTACGTTCAGAAATGATCCGCTGAATTCATAGGATCTAATTTTCAATTTTTTCTTAATACAATTTTGAATATTTATTTACTTTTAATAAAGTTAAAGGAGTATCTTCTTACAATAATCTTCTTTTAACTTTTTAAATTATTGTTAATCAAAATGTCAAAAGCTACAAACTTATTATAATAACTGTTGAAAATTGTGCTTCTATAAAATAGACAGTATTTCTTTAAAAAAATGATGATCATCATTTAGAAGAAAAAAAAACAGTTTTGAGAGATAAAGCTTTTTGAGGCGGCTATATCAAAGGAAAAAACTCTTTAAAGAATCTTAAAAACTTTTTTTAGGATTATACGTTTTGAGAAGTAAATTAGAGTTCATTTTATTGATTTGTTGCAATAAATTGTAAATAGTAAGATAATTTAATTAAAACTAATATATAGCATACATTGTACAGCCTATCTTTAAAAACATGGAATTATTTTATCAATATCTTACAACAGTTTGCGTTAATTAAAATAATAATAATTAAAACCCAGTTATTACAAATTTATAGTTGCTTTAAACAATTTTTTAATAATAGTAACACATTATCAGAATATTATTTGAATGGAGTATGATATGTAATCTGTAATATGTTTTATTTATAACAAAATGTATGTATTCTGGAATATGTTTTATTTATAACAAAAAATTATTTCATAAGTATGCAGTAGTTACAAACATATACCACTTTTCATTTTCAAGCCATTTCAAATATTTACAAACATTACTAAACTTTGATTAAAAAAATTATCCTTAATTATTAATCAGATTTTACAATCAAAATTAATTTTCATTCTAAAAAAAGTGGTAAATTGCCTTTTTTTAAAAAAACACCAACTGACAATCAAATTTTTTAGAATAACATTCAACTTTTTACAGACAATATTTCTTAAAGTTCAAAATAACAAACAAAAAAACAAAAAAATCTTCTTAAACACATTAATAGAGAAAGCCACATAAAATGTATTTACAATATTTTTACAAAGCTCTCATATAAAAGCATATTTAGTAAAATTTAAACACATAAACTTCTTAATATGGTTACGCTTTCTTAATAAATCATTAACATAATTAAACACAAAAGAGTTATAAATTATTTTTAAACTAAATTTTAACAAACAAAAAAAAACTTTAAAAATTAACAATTTAAATTAAATAAAGAAATTAAAAAATAAGCTTCTACAAATATGCATTTAAGTGCACAAAAACACTAACATTTTTTGTTCAGAAATTAACTACAATCGAAATGAAGTACAAAAAAATCTGTTTAAAAATGATAGTCTGTATAAAAATCTATATTAATCTGAACTTATGTATGAAAATAATATTCATAAAATAAATGTGAGAGCTAGAACCCACAACAATAGAGTATGGATGGAAAAATGCATAAATAACAGAGAAATAGAACTATATATTTTCTTTTCTTCAGTTTCCTTGTGCCATAGTTGCATCAATCTGTTTAATCCAAGGAACAATCAATTTTATTTTTCTGCGATACATAGGGTCCTCAGCTATAGGATTATGCTCCAAATAGACAGTTTCCAGTTTCTTAAAGTTCTTAAGCACTTCTGCAGACTCCCAGGAAGTAATTTCATTATCATTAAACTAAAAAAAAAATGAACACTTGAATTAAAATATTTTATAATGATAAGTAAACTGCGCTATAAATATACAACACTGCAAATTACACTAAATTTCAAATAAGTATTCATTCAGTTAGTTTTTTTTAACCACCGGATACCTAAAAATTTTTGCGATTCCACCTGGTTGCTTTCCTGAATATCTTTTGAATGACTTCACCGATTGGTATGGCATTTTTGTTACAGATTGCCATGATTTTTTCTAAAAATCATTTTGAGAAATTTTTCTATCCCTCTACAATTAGTTATTTGCATGCAATATTGAAAAATGTGTTTTTTCATGGTTTCAACTTTGTTCTGTCATGAAACCAGAATCATTACAAAATGCTTAAAAATATAGAAGCAAACTAATCTTGAGAAAAAATAAAATACCTAATTAAAGCTGGCTAAGCACATAGTTTAAACGCTGAATTAAAACTGTGTGCTAGGAACAAATATGCAGGATATCAAAAATTAAAGCACTATATTTAAAAGTCACAATAAATTTTAAATATAAATGCTTACCCTTATTCTACAAAACAGCTTTTTAATTTCAAGATTTTAAAACATACCCAAAATTCTTCTAAATCAACCAAGTGATCAACATTTGATATTTTCTTAATCCTATTTCCTGTGAGATCCAAAGTTTGCAATTTGACCTGAAAACAATATAAAAATAATAGTTACTGTACTTTTTTTTTAAATAAAATTTTTAAAAATATGTGTATACAATTTTTTTAAAGAAAAATTTCATGACTTTATAAACAAAATATTAAAATTATATGTGATCATGTGCGGTTTCTGCACCACCCAATTTTAGAAATACAGTAGGGAACCGATTATCCGGAGCGATCGGGACCATCGATATTCCGGATAACTGATTCTTCCGGTTTTCTGAATCGCTACAAAAAGCCTTTTTTTATTGTTAAACCCAACTGAAAAAAAATTTTGGAAATAATCTTAAAAAGAAGAAAAAACGATGAAGTAATACACTAATGATTATTTCCAAAATGATGGTAAGGTAAACATCTTTCAAAAAAGAACAAAAAATCCTAAAATCTTATGAGGAAAAAAAAAATCTTTTTTTTTAAAAAATGGCGGAAAATTTATCGAATTTCGTTCCAGTTTTTTGGTTTTAGGGTTTTTTGATTTTCGGATAACGGGTTCTGTACTGTACTTAAATATAAACTTGTAAAGTACAAGTTTATACTGTGCTACAATGTAACATATTTTAATTTCAATATTGACGATTTCAAAAAAAAAATACCCAATTTCTAATTAATTAAAATAATCAATATTTATGGAAAAAGAGATAAATAAATCTTACGTTATTCTGAAAGCCTTCCAACTCTGATATCCCATTGTGACTCAGATACAAGTGTTCAAGTTTCAAGGAATGATCTAATCCTTCAATTTTAGTAATCCTGTTACTCTGTCAAAGAAAGAAACATGACATTAACTCACAAAAATAATTTTTAGGTACTTAGTAGCTATGTTGAAGAAATAATTACCATCAAATACTTGATGAAATTATTGATTTTTATTTTAATAAGTTAATAAAATTCCAAAAGAAAAATAATCACAAATATGATTTTTCTTAGCGCTAGATTAAGGGGAAGAGACTTAACTGATTAAATATTTTTTTAAAGAAATATTCCTAGTTTATAATAACAGACTTAATTTTAATTTAAAACAAATAATTTTAGGTATGAAAAATAACATAAGAAAACTTCAGGAAATGTTTTTTTTTTTTTGTATGTATTACATATGGCTTCTGATTCTGTTTGGTACATTTTGTTAGAATAGCAAACATTAATTTGGTACATTCTATTAGAATATACCACTGAGATCCATCTTCGGATGACCTAAAAACTTTAATCTTCCTGAAATAATAAAAATGACATTTCATAGATTTTTTTACATTTCTTCAAATTTAGAGAGTTACAATAATAGAAAAAGAAAACAATGGTGACAGCTGAAAAATATTACTTCAATACATTATTGTTTTACAGACAAGTTAAAGATTAGTTCAAGCCTGAAAGATAAAATTAGGGAAGATATAAAACAAAAACTCAAAGTGAAAGGTCAGGTAAAATATATTATTGAGATGACTTATTTATGATTATACTTCACACTGTTGTTCATTTTATGTTAAACATAGCTCAAAATGCATGTTTAAGAAAAAAAGACATAGTTTGGAATATGAGTTTGAAAAAATAAACGTAAATCATAAGGTACATTTAAAAAAATAGACATTTGTAAAATTTCTCAAAGAATATGCTTAGAACTTTGAGTTAATAAAATGAACATATCTTAAAATGCATGTTTAAAAATAATGGACAGAACTCAATGCCCATTTAAGGTAATAGACATAGATTGATATGTCCAACGGAAAAAATAAACCTAAGCTATAAATGCAAGTCAATGAAACAGTATAGCTCAAATACAAACCCATTCAATGTTAAACAATGAACTGAAATTTTTATCATTTATTTTACCTTTAGAAAAAAAAGAAAAATATCAAAGCAATATTAGTTAGACTTTTTTAAATCGCTATGAATAATTATTAATCACTACAGGGTATCTGCTACATTTTAGATTTTCAAATTCATGACTTTCCATGACTGATTCCAAGAATTTTTCATGACTTAACGACGCTACTATTTTCTCCAACAAAAACACAACAATAAATTTAAAAAAGCATTATAAAAACATTGATTGAAATGATAGGTATAACCAAAACAGTTATACTCTGCATCTTCTTATTTATAGATTTTAAATTTAAAAAATAGAGTAAAGAAAGAGTTGAAGCAATAAAACAGCTGGAAAAAAATACAAAAGCGAATTATTTTTTTTCTTTTTTTCTGCAGAATTACATTCTAAAGATACTTTTCTTGTTCATCGGAAAGGAAAGAAATACTCCTAATTTTTCTGTTCTCATTTCGGAATAAAAAAATTTGCCAATTACTAGCTTGCCTTCAGCTAAAATTTTAAATTGATAAAATAAAAATAATAAATAACAAAAGTTCTGAAATCACGTAAGTTCAAAAGATAATTCGCTCTAGAAATGTTTTTTCTTTCATTTTTTTAAAGAACACGATAATTTTTAAAGAACACGATAAAAGCATTTTATATTTTAATCAAATATAACTGTGAGTGGGGATTTTGTTANTAATCTGACCGAACTTGGGTTTTGTTTAATATAAATTTTATCTATTGGATATGTTTAAATTATCCCTTAATAGTCACGACAGGGATTTTGTTACAAATTCAGATATTTGGAACACCAAGAAATTGGGGGGAGGGGAGTAAATTCCATTTTAAAAATTAGATTTTCCGGCGACCTAAATCCATGACTTTTCATGATTTTTTTTACAAAAATAAATAAAATCATGACATTTCATGACAAATTTTGTTCAATACCAAAATTCATGACTTTCCATAATTTTTCATGACTTTCCAGGTGCGCGGATACCCTGTCACTAGTTAATTCTTTTACAGTACAAAAGTTATAACAGTAGTTTTAAAAAAATATATTTCCATTTTGAGATAGGTCCATCGTTTAAACACATATAAAAACACATCCATCATCATAACACACACAAATACCTATGTGTTTTAAAAGTCCACGTGAAGTATTAGCTTTTTGTTCGCATCTAAATTAACCAAAATAACTTTCTATAGTTTTGAGATCAGAGGACTTTTCAATTACATTTTAACTGATTACCATTTTGCTAAAAACATGTCTGACATAAATCCTTTACTTTGTTTTCTTGACTATATTGCTCATCTCATTACATCCCTGTCGTATAAAGAAAAGTTCCCACGTTGGAATTTTGATGACGATCTCAGAGCTTTTTTAGCTTTGCTTATGAATTGACTGCCCTTTACAAGTTCTTTTTCCTGAAAATGTTTTATTTCTTTGAAGTGATTCAAATGACAATTCATTAACATTCAGGCATCTTCACTGTTTTCTGTTGTTCCAACAATTGCAAATGCAACATGATCTGTTGGATCTTATAACTATTTATCCGTTCCAATGTGTACAATACCAGATTCTCTCACGATATCTTTCGTAATGTTCCGATAATTTTTCCCATAAGCCGCCAATCAGCTTGCACTCATTTTTTAGTAAACTCAAGCAAAGTTCCTTGCTTTTTCTTTCTTTGATTCTTCCATATTCTTTAAAACTTCACTTTTTTACACTTATAGATGAATTTCTTTTTATACAACTCGATTTTGAATATTTCAACCATGAAGATCAATAGCTTAGCCCATGAAATCTTTCCTAAATAGAACTTTATCAATATATTTAGATTCTAAATATCCGCAATCAATTCTCAGTTCGAGCATTTTTTCTAAATTATCCAGTTGTATAGATCAACAAATTTTCATCTTTTCTTTCACAGGAATGTCCAGCAATATTTCTAATTAATTCATGTCTTTCTGGCTCGCAAAAAGTATTATTTTCACTGGATTCTCAAAGACTTCTTTTCCATTTCATTTAGTACTCTGTAAAAGTTTTGGCGATTGACACATTTTAACAGTATTTAATAATGCCACTGTTTTGTTTCCCAATAAATGAGATCTTTAATCAAGCAAATCCTCTAATACGGCAATCTTGGTAACTACCTTTCCTAAATAACAGTTTAATTCAACTTCTAAAGTAAAACAAAATAATTCATTCTGCACAGTTTTTATCAAAACAAATTCTCCAGTATAAATTTCGGGTTCCACCCATTTCTTAGAAACTAAATGCAAGATCGCACCAGTATCTCAATAACATTCACCATGCCAAAATTTTAATATGGTGACATTGTATCACTAAGTAAAGATACTAAAACGCGTAAAGCGGCCACAATTTCCGAATGTTTCTTAAAATTGGGACATAGAGGCCGAGACCATAAAATCCACATTAGCAATATTGAATCAGTTTTCTTCCAGATTCGTTTTTGTGATCATTTTCTTTAAATGCAATTTCTCTGCCTTACGAACTTTTCTTTAGTTTTAACGTCACTTCTGATCTAAGTTTGCCAGAAATCATTTTGGTTGTTTCTATTACTATGAAACAAAGACTTCTCCTCAAAGTTGTTTTTTAAACTTTTGTAGTTATCTCTAAATTCTTGGCTAATTTAGAATAAGCATTTAACTCCATCCATTCTTCGGGAAAATGATCATTCATATCATTTGGTACATGATGCTTAACTTGCTCAGTTACCATCAAATTCTTAAGATCCTCAAAATTGGTAATTTTTAGATAAGAAATTCATTGACTAAAATAATTTAACTCTTGGGCGAAATTTCGTCAAGACTTTTCAGGAGACTTTGAATGCTGGTAAAAATTTTGTTTAAGTTCTTTGGCATAAAGTTTGCATCGTTTCAGAATCAGTTCTTTTACAGAATCATAACTATAGACATCTTTAAGTGATTCTCTTGCCAACATATTTTAAATGTCTGGTAGTACTGCGCTTAATAGATAAGACATTCATTCTTCCTTTGAAATTTGTGCTATCTCTGCTCTACCCTCAAAATTAATGAGATATGTCGTTTCATTTTTATTCTCTAGAAATTTAGGAGTTATTTGTAATAGTTGTATTTCACGATTTGCTTTCATTGATACCGGTCTATCTTGACATTGATGAGTTTGAGTACTCAATTCTAATTCAAGCTTTCGCTATTCTCTTTCTAAGTGTCAATTTTCTCTTGTTGCTCAAGTTCCTCTTGCCTAACTCTCTCCTCAATAAATCTTAAGATATTTTCACATCCTCAATCTAATAATTTTTACTTCCCCGAATTATTTGCTTTATTTCACACACATGTACTTAAGAAGAATTGTTTCACCTGGCTCTTCAACAAAATCTGATTTTTTTTCTTTTATTAAGGAAGGCTATAACTCTTATTGCATTATACTGTATGAACTACTGTGTTTCAGTATATTTTCAAATAACTTAATAACTTGCAATATAACTTAAGAAGTTCAAGTCTCCTAAAAGAAATCAATTAAACTTTTCAAAAATCCATGACGCTGCCACCACTACTAATTCTGTAGTGTCACAACTAACAGAAAATACGGCGTGAGTTCTAAAAATCTATTTCCACACTATATACGCAAATTCTTAATAGGGAAAAAACAGGCTCTCGATTAGTTAAAACATGCTCATTTAGGCACAAAGTCAACTCGGATGAAAAAAATTTTCACCCCATCTGATCAGTTTCCAATTTTTTTATTAAAATTCATACAATACACAGACATTTTCTATTATCTATATATATTTGCGTTTTCTAAACATAAAGTCCTATGAAGAATATATAAATTAATAAATATTTAATTTCAATAAATTTTTTTTTTTGCACTTTATATTGAATTAATAATTTTCATAAATTCTTCTTTCTTTATTGGCACTACAGCCCGGCATGGGCCTTAGACTGCAGCACAATATTTCTCCAGACAGCTCTGTTCCTAACCTCAATCGATATACAATTATATGCATATCTACCGTATATTCCGGCGCATAACGCACCCCGCCGTATAACGCGCACACGTAATTTCTAATTACTTTTTTTAAATTTTAAGATATACTCCTCGTACAACGCGCACGAAAATTTAGATTTTTTACAGAAAAACTTTTCCCAAATGTAATTTTCCAAAAGGTATTTTTGCTCATGTCCACGAAAAAGGCTGGATGGACGAAAATGGTGTTAAATTGTGGGTAAAAAATGTCTGGCAAATACGTCCTGGTTGCGTAAGAAAACCAGAAAGCCTTTTAGTGTGTGACATGTTTAGGTCCCACCTTACAGATAATACAAAAAAATTTTAGAAAGAATGTAACACCAATATGGCAGTTATTTCGGGTGGATTGACACCATTAGTTCAGCCATTGGACGCCTGCTTAAACAAACCATTTAAAGCCAATTTAAAAAAAACAGTGGAACACTTGGATGTTGGAGGGCGAGAATACGAAAGGAGGACATATGCGTCATGCAAGTTTGGAAACAGTGTGCGAATGGATATTAAAAGCATGGAATGAAATTAAGCTTGAGATGGTTAGAAAATCATTCAAAAAATGCAGCATTTCAAATAATCTGGACGGATCAGAAGATGACTGCTTATTTAAGGATGAGGGTAACACAGATGATGAAGACGAAACAGATTGTGATGACGTGCCTGAAGAAATAACGGAAGACGAATATAATGAACTATTTATGTAATAACGAAAATCAATAAAGTACATAGGTAATGGTATGTTATTTCCTTAAAATAAAAGTATTTTTCCACATTTAAATCTTTTTAATCTATAATTTTTTATATTCGGCGTATACCGCGCAACCGTAAATTCCAATGTTATTTTTTGTATTAAAAGTGCGCGTTATACGCCGGAATATACGGTATATACAATTTGACAGGGAACTGAAAATTAGTTCAGGTTAAAAGAAATTCACATAAAGAAAGTTTTTAACGAGGTTTGATTGCATATATTTTTGTGGGATATATTTGAGCATATATATAAATATTTAAAGTAAAGAAAAAAAGTAAAATATAAGGTTGCATAATATTTTCTTGAACAAAATGAAAACAAATTAAAAAGTATAGCTATTTTATCAATTGAAAATTTCTTTTCAAATAATTTTATACAAAAGAAATATAAAAATCATTCATAAATAGCTCAATAATTGTAAATACAATTCCTGAAAACAGTTTAAAAACAATATTAAAAAAATTTTTCCCTTCAATTAACTAGAGTAAAAAGTACTCACCTGTAAACTTAAAAGCTCAAGATTTTCAAGAGCTTCAAGATTCTGTAATTTGGAAATCTTATTCTTTCCAAGAAACAAATTAGTCAAATTTTTAAGCCCCTCTAAGTTTTCTATCACCTAAAATGATACAGATGAGAAATACTACCAGAATTGAAGAATAAATATGACAATAAAATGCATGGCATTACTAATAATAAAATTATCTAGTAATTATATTAACAAACATATGAAATACATAAATATCTATAAAGAGAAGATGAGTTATTTTTCAAATACAATACAGGGGCCCTACCATGAACTACCGGGAATGGAATGAAGATTCCCGGCTGGAAAGTGAAACTGGGAAAGTTTGGTTCCATGAATGCTCAATACCGTACCATGAACACTCCCTTGGAATCAGACATTCCCCGATAACTCGCTCTCAGGGCGTGGCTAAAATTTAACCAATCACACAATTTACTTTAGATTTTCTTTTTGAGTTTGGCAGCATTAGCATGAGTAAAACGAAACGAGCTTCTGCTATTTAGATAATATTTTTGACTACTTATTGTTTTATTTTTATAATGTTTTTTGTTTTCATTAGACTAAAAAAACATGAACTGCGAATACTTTGAAATATTCTTCAATTTATTATACATATAGTTTTATTAATTAAAAACTGTCATATTTATCATGTATAATTCATAAAATAAAATCATTTTTTCATAATAAATATTTCTGATATATCCCTTAATACGTTTCATTATTTATTTTAAATATTTTTTAAAAAGTACAACTCTTAAAATAATGATCATATTTTAATGAATTAAGATTCAAAATTTCGTGCCTGAGAACTGCATGTAGATAGATTACTAATTATACTAGTTTTTAAATCAAAACTAATTGCCAGAAAGAATTCAAATTTTATCAGACAAAAAAATTAACGTTTACCTTGATCTCTTTGAAATTAATTTAATTTCCGAAAAGTTCATTAGTTTTCAATTAAATTTGTAACAGTATGAATGACTGAAGTTACTGCTTTGCTTATTACTTTGGTTTATTTGTTACATTATAAAAGTGACTGTTTTTACTGATAGTTAAATAAATATGTTCACAAGAAATTAATTTATAGAACTGCGTAAAATTTTTTTCGTGATTTGTAAAATCATTTTACGTATGAAATACTTAAAAATTATAGTTCAGGGAACTACTTCCGCAGCTTTTATAGTATATATTTTAATGGAAGAATGAGAATAAAAATTTTGAAAATGAGTAAAAGAAGAAATAAATACAAATTTCATAAATATTTTCTGAAACTTTTTTATTTTTTTTTTGTATTTCTTATTATACAAATATATTACAAATTCTTTAAAATGTGCTGCCATTGGTGTATAATATAAAGAACTATCGTTCGAAAGGAAGTTAAATATTGTTTAACTAAAAGTTCATCGAAAGAAAATTAAAAAAAGAAATGAGTGGAACTTCAAAAAAAGTTATTGGCCAAGTAATATATCCCGTAATAATAACATAGAAATAGTAACAATTATCATATGAAAGCATAATTATTTTTAGTTTGCCGTAATTTCTTAGTTAACTCTGAAAGTATCTTTTCGTTCACACATACTAATGAAACAAAACATTTCTCTTTTAATTATCGTCTTGAAAATGTCTCGGGCACGTTTATCTTTTAGAAATTTTGTTATCTTCTCTTATGAAATAGAAAAAAATTAAGACATTCATCGACGAAATATCGTATTTAGTCCTTAAAAATTCATCATTCCCTCCTTGGAACGACGATTCCAGGTGCCGGAGACTGGTTGAAATGAAACCGATTCCAATTCCAGCCAAGAAACTCTTTCCAAGGTGTTCGTGGTGGGGAAAAATAATTCCCGTTGGAACGTGACGTCATTCCCAGATGGAATTTCATTCCATGGAGCTCATGGTAGGGTTCCTGGTGAAAAGCTGGAAATGTTATTAAGGGCAATACCCTTCATATTAGTTAGTTCCTTTGAAAGGAACTTTGCAACACATTAGTGCAAAACACTGAAATTATTACTGCCAAAGGCATCAGGGAATTTAGAATTTTAAACTAGCAAATTAACCCTTCCTTATGTGGTTGACTATCAAATAATGTACAAAAAATTTTAGTTAGAAACATACAAAGTATATGCAGGGTATCTGCTACATTTTATATTTTTAAATTCATGACTTTTCATGACTAATTCCAAGAATTTCTCATGACTTAACGAAGTTAGTATTTTCTCCGACAAAAACACAATAGTAAATTTAAAAAAGCATCATAATAACATTCATTGAAATGATAGGTGTAACCAAAACTGTTATACTCTGCATCTTCTTATTTACGGATTTTTAATTTAATAAACAGAGAAAGCAATAAAATAGCTGAAGCAATAAAATAGCTTAAAAAATACAAAAGTTTTTTTTTCTTTTTTCCGCAGAATTATATTCTAAAGATACTTTTCTTGTTCAAGGGAAAGGAAAGAAATACTTCTGATTTTTCTGTCCTCATTTTGGAATGAAAATAATTCGCCAATCACTGGCTTGCTTCAGCTAGAATTTTAAATTGATAAAATAAAAAAATAAATAATACAAATTCTGAAATCACAGAAGTTTAAAAGATAAATTGCTCTATAAATGATGTTTTTTTCTTCATTTTTTGAAAGAACACAATTTTTAAAGAACACAATTGATAAAAAAATTTTACATTTTAATAAAATATGACTGAGTGGAAAGTTTGTTACAAATTCAGATATTCAATATACCGATATATAATAATTAGATTTTTTAGCTACAACAAGTTCATGTTCATTCATGACTTTCTATTACTTTTTTAAAAAAATAGTTAAAATCATGACATTTCACGACAAATTTTGCTCAATACCGAAATTCATGACTTTCCATGATTTTTCATGACTTTCCAGATGCGCGGATACCCTGTATATGCGACTTCAAACTTGTTTTTTTTAAAAAATGATAATGCAATGCTTAAATGTTTTATTGATTTTTACTTAAGAAATCATTTGCTATAACATATTTAAAAAGAAAATATTTCTCATACCAAATGTTTTTATATGATATTTCTCATCAAATGAATAGCTGTGACTGAACTTAATGCGGCGACTGAACTTAACTTAATCGTAACCGCGATCAGTAACTGTCTCTGTCATTTCACCAGAAGAATCTTAACCGCCATTGTAGAATGACGCGCTGCTCTTATCTCATATTTTCTCTTCTTATACTTAATATTTAAAATGTTAAATAAATACTAATTAAATGTAAACTCAATCTATTCATCTCCTAGACTCAACCAACCACCACAAATACATTTTAAAATAATTTTTATGTTTCTATCTTACTTTTTCAGTTTTTTAGATTACCAGCAATTTTTGTTATCAATGGAAATCTTGTCAACAAATTCCGCAGATAATTGGGACTTAATTGTATAAAACAAGATCAATAATTTATAAAATAAACAAATAACAATATAATAAAAAATAACTTAGTAAGAAATAACAGAACAGTAAGAAATAAAAAAATAAGAAGTAAGATATATTAGAATGTAAGCAAATATGATTCATCGTATATTTTATTCAAACGAGGAAAGTAAAAGTACGAAAATTAAAAAGAGTTATATTAATCCGTATAGTAATTAAAACAAAAATACTACTTACTCTAATTCTGTTGGATCCAAGTTCCAGCATTTCCAAGTTCTCCAAGTGATTTACATTTTCAATTTTAGTGATTTTATTGTTGATTAGAAATAACTTCCTTAAATTTAACAAGTTATCTAAGTTTTCAATTTTTGCAATTCTGTTAAAAGACACATCTAGGATTCTGAAAGAAAATAAAAAGAATTTATTATATCTTATTTTATTATAAATAAAACAATAAAAAGCTATTTCTTTTTATACAAATAAAATTTCTTTAGATTTAAGCTACTCTTTAAACTAAGCAATCAGAGTAATAATGCAATTGGGTAAAAATTACAAAACAATGAGGAAGCTATTCTTTTTCCATTTTTTATATTTATTTATTCATTGTTTTTTTAATAGAAAGAAAGATATATTCCTCTAAAATCAGAGCATACAATACATCAAAGCATTTAGCTACACAGAGCTGCAATTTAATGGTATTTTTTGAGTAAAGGGCAAAGAAATTTAACTACTTTTTTTTTTACTTTTCTTATTACACTTAATTTTTTGCAAACATCCCTTTTCTTCAGTGTTTAAAAAATGTATTAAATAAAAAAAGAAAGTTGGAAAAAATCTACATTTTTTGGCGACATTTTGCTTGTTTCCAACATGTGCCGAAATGTACCTATATTTCAATGTAATTACCAAATCATATTGAATGCTGAATTTAATTATGCAAATGTTAAAAATAAATAATTAAAATGAAAATATTCTTTATTACATAATGATATTTTGTTACAATCAGTAATTTTAAATTACCATATACAATAGTCTCATATATATAATACACACATAAAAAGAGACAAACAGTTTGCCACAATTGCCACAACCACAATTGCCTGGAAAAATAGATTTTGTATGAATTCTATTTATAACAAGATTTATTATTTTACAAAATGCCAATCCTATGTTTAACTTACTATATGTAATTGATAGATTGTACATTGCAATAAAGACGAAAATTTCATACATACTTACTCTAAATTTACTAAAACATCTAGATTTTCAAGCTTAGTAATTTGATTATCATACAGCTCAAGCTCTCTCAATGTTGTAAGAGAATGTAAATTTTCAATTTTTTTAATCAAATTGTTTCTGAAACACAGTACCTAAAATATAGATAAATGCAGTTACTATACAATCTACTTTTACTTAACATTATTATTTTTCATATAGGGGAGAGTTGGATAAAACGGGATAGTCGGACAAAACGGGATATGTCGCCTAGGGACCAGACTATTGCAGCTATCTAGTGGACAACGACAAAACCGTGTTATTCGACTGTGATTATATCATTCTCGGTGCGTCCCGCCTCGAGATCACTATTTGATAGAAAGTTGTAGGTCTCAGAATTTTTTTACTCTATTTTTTTGCCATTTTCTACATTTACGTGCGTTGTTTTTTACATTGTACTGCCTACATATATGGGAATAAAATTCCGGTGAGTATTAAATTTAATTAACCATTTATTTACCAATATTTTTATGTGCAGTCTATCTAATTTTCTTTTCACATTTACGCAGCAACCATGTTTGTTTCAAAAAGTGACGGAGTCGGACAAAACGGGACACTTGTGAGTTGGATAAAACGGGATAGAGTTTTTCATGTCCCGTTTTATCCACCTATTTATTTATTGGATTATTACATTTTAAAATAGCCATATATTAATGTAGGCCTAGGCTTTTTAAACAACTTATTTATATTAACTATATATATTTTTTGAATAATTTAGTCTCTTTATATAGTAATGCAAAATTTGTTTATTAACGTTCATTATTAAGCATTTTATTTTCGACTCTAGGATTTCACATCTTTCTTTAGAACTAATTGTAATGTATTTCTCTGATGAAGACTTTTTTATACATAAACAATTATTATACATAAACAATTATTTATATATTTGCATTATTTATTATTTTATCTTTATATATATGCAAAAAATTAAACATTGTAAACCCTATCCCGTTTTATCCAACCCAGGTATGCTAAAACGGGATATGTAAGAGTTTGGAAATGAATTTTTTTTTCTATTTCGCTGTCATTAAAATTAGTTGAAAATATGTTTTTTGTGTGCTTCAATAAATGTTGTAGCTACAAAAAAAATAATGTATTGTTTTCCTAAACAGATATTCCGTAGTAAATAAAAACAATAATGGTATCCCGTTTTATCCAACTCTCCCCTACAAAGAGATTCTTTTTCTCCAGAATAGATACTTTTCAAGATTGAATGCAATTTTATAATATCAATTTCTTTTTGGATAAGGTTCACATATTTTCACGAATTAATAATTGTTTGATTATAAATACTGGTGAGCAACTATTATTAATTAATAACGTCAAAAATAACTGTAATTGTTAATTAAATTAATGAACCCATAGAGTCAGCTTCCCCTCTATGCGTCAGTTTCACTTTCATGGAAATATGCATCAGTTTTAATATCCTTTCGTTTTCATCCATTTAAAAAGAATGAATTTTCATTTTTAATTGTAATGTTTTGAAGCTAATTTATGTAAATGTTATGTATTATGAGCCACGATGCTGCATCAAACTTGACGAAAAATGCAATTTACAATGCACAATCAAGATAACAATACAAAAGGGTTCTAGTAACTGTGACTGACAAAGAAACAAAAAAAGGGTAAAAAAAATATATAGGTGAGAATAACAAGGGCACTTATAGGTTGAGAAAAGAATTTCTGTTAGAATTATATAGTTATAAAAGAGAAGAGGCTGTGAAGAATTTTATGAAACATTTGAGAGAATTTTAAGGTGAAATTGTATCTTGAAAGGCACATATATTATTTTATAACAGCATTACATAACTTTCTACGATAAATACTTTAAAAAAATCAAAACATACAGAGTAAGGTTAAAAAATGCTCTGCTTATTTTGACATCTATTAGAAATTTAATACAATTTGAGGAGGGATTCAAAGCCACTCTAATTTTAGAATAAATATTTTGTTAGTACAATAATATTTAATATTAGTATCATAACTGTTAGTCAGTATAATAGATAATAATCACAGTTACATTTCTAGGCTTTGTAGTAGGCCAAGAAAAAATCAGGACAATACTTTCAAAAAAACAAAACAAACAATACATCAGGTCAGTTTTTGGAACAGCATACTACTATACCAGACTGCTTTTAAAAAAGGCAAACTATAAAAAGTATAATTTACCCCACTTACAGTTTCCGGCTAAATTTTTAGAAGCACTATAAGGCGAACCTTTATGCACCAGCGTGCCATATTTTTCAAAAAATTGTTTAATGAGGTCATAGACGTGCCGTCAAATAATTTTGACTTCGTGATTATTGGGAAAATAATAATACTAAATACTATCAAAACTCTTTATTTACTATAAAGAAAAAAACATTTTGCAGTGTCTCGATTATAAGCGTAATTCAACTTAAAGTAACATCAGTGTAAATTCTGTTTTTGCAGATTAGACGTCAAATAACTTATATTAGGTTGTAAGATGTTAATTTAAGCAGGACTGTTAAATCTCTTTTTGCTGGTTATTTATTGTTAGCTTGTTTTTTATGGTTACTAATTTTTTTTTTGGCAATAATTATAAATTTTTTTGTTAATAATTTTTAATTTTTTTGTTTGTTTTTGTGAATTTTAATTTAATTGTTATCGTAGTGAGCTTTGTGATCAGTGGCGTGCCCAGAATAGTGTGTCGCGTGCCATTGGTTTGCCATCCCTGCACTATAAGATTCTACCGCATCTTTACTTTCGCTTCGGGGACAATTTGTCCCCTAACTCAATTTTCTTCTTCATGTGTTGTACGCTAGCTTCAGAGGCCTACAATTTTTGTGATATTTTGCAGTTTGAAAATATTTTAGCATTCACAAGGACCTTTACTTCAACTTTTTTACATGGTGAAATATGGCCTTCTTTACCCATGATGAAAATGTTCCAATTGATTATTTAAACACATCACACAAAATAAACAAATAATTGCATAGTATAAAACTTTGAAACATATAAACACAGTGCATAAAGTCACATAAACACGTCCGCAACTGAAACTGGTATGCACTTGTTTACATCCGTGCATGAATTGGTTAACATTATGTAAAAACTCATGCAAAACATGTAATTATTAAAAAACTACAGTGCATCTAATGATTTGGCCCAGGGACTGTAAGTAAAGGCAAATTTTCTTGCAAAAGAATAATATAAGGTACAATTTTTAGTTCAGAATTAATTTGTTTAGAATTAAAAGATTTTGCAGTTTCCAGTGTAATTTTATCAATACTGAACAACTGATAATAATTTCAAATCAGTACACGTAAAATTTTCATAATAATGTTGCATTTAAAAATATAAAAAAATAACCAGTACCAATTAGTTAATATACAATTAATTGAGTTCAAGATTTTTTTAACGAAACAATTTTAAAAAAAAAAAAAATTTATCTTGGAGTGAACGTACCACTTGATATTTTTGCACAAAAGTAATTTAAGCAGATGTAATTCTTCATTTCTTCTTTTAAAAATTCTATAACATAATTACTGTATAGTTGATTGGAATCAATCATTTTTATAATCGCATGACAGAGATGAATTATTAATTAAGACACTACAAAAGTTCACCTTACAAGATTTGTCACTGCACTTATTTAAAATAATAAATAAGTGTATGACCTCTGATTTCTTCACCATAAAACTTTGATAATGTAATACTATTAATTGATTTTTTTTCTTCATATATTAACTGAATTCTCAAAAGAGTTTAAATGAATCCTAAGAGTAGGGCTATATGCTTGAATCATGTATCTAGTTAGCAGGATTGGCATATTTTAAATCATTTGATTCTTTAAAAAAAAATATTTTTTTAAAAATCATTGATTTAAGCAAATTGATATTTTTCAAATAAGTTAATAAGTTTAAAATATTTTTAATAAATATATTCTTTAAGATGTGATTCTTTTTAATGTCAGATTTCCTTGAAATTGCAGGCTTCATCCAAAAAAATAATGAAAGGGTAAATTGTTATATTTCAAAATAGACTGATAAATAAATGAAATCAGATACTAAAAGTGTAACGTTAAACTATTAAATTATAATTTTCTATTCGCTTTTTACAAAATAATTTGCTAGTAATACATATATATGCTGTGACATATTCAAATAAATACAAAACTAAATGGGTATAGTTGTACATACCTATTTAGTTTAATGCTCATTTGAGTATTTAATAAGTGCTTTTATAACATAATAAATGCATAGTTAGTGTTTACCAATATTGAAGAAAGACTTGTTCTGCCCATGGAAACTTACAATATATTTTTTCTTTAATATATTCTGATCTAAACTAATTTACTTTTCTTTGAATATCTAATTGATAAAATAAAATTTAAAATTTTAGGATGTTTATCTTGAACAAATATAACTTATTTTATTTATTCATTGATTAGTTATTAATAATAAAATAACAATTTGGGAATCATATTAGAAAGAAATATTAGCTCATTATATTCAATATTATATTAGTTTAGCTTATTATTTTTAAATAATATTAAGCACCATTAATGCATTTTATCAGATGATTTGGCTGGTAAATATTGAAAAAAACTACTTGATGAAAATAAGAAATATCTGATTAAAATTAAATTAATCTGGATCTTTAAAAAAAAAAATTCATGAATTTTGCCAACCCTGTTAATTACTAGACGATCCTTAAATTTAAACAATCAAATTTAACGATTTCTTCTAGCATTACGAATTTTTTTAAAAAAAGGTATCAAAATTTTACATTTTTTGTTCTTTTAAATCTAATTCTTAAAATTCTGCTTTCGAATTTTGCGAAATGGGATGTTCTGAATATACACAAAAATCTGGAGTATCAAGACAAAAAGTTAAAAATCAGAAAAAAATATTTTTCAAAAGGAAAATCAGGAATATTGGGAGAGCTATGAACTTCCCATTTTCTCTTCTAACAGCAAAGTTGAAACAATTAATTAAGAATTTATTACCATAGTCAGATAGTTTGTTTCCTGAAAAAAAAATTTTTACTGAACTGAATGAATTAAATTATAAAAAATACACAAATATTGTTACAAAAAAAATTGACTCTTCATTTATAACACTTAGTATAATAATACATGTTCTTTTATATCAATAAAAATTAGAAACAGATTGATATACAAAAATATATTACTTCTACTGCTGTCAAATGCTCTAAGTTCTCTATTTTTCTTATTCTGCAGTGTGTTAAATCAATATCCTAGAAGAGGAAACAAAAATTCAGTGAAATAAAATTTTATAAAAACCAACTTCAATAAAACTATAACAAAATCTAATAAATTCAAAATCTTTGAAACTTAACTTGGGTGCACTTTCAAGGCAGACACTTAATGTTCCAGATGTTTTTTTGTTTTTTTACTTCTGATTCCTATGCCACCTTATGCATAAAAACCATTATAACACTCTCTTCATACTCTTAAACAGTAACTAAACACTAACTTAACTTTTTTTTTAATCCTCAAATTTTAAAATGAAAAAGGATAAATTTTATATAAATATGTAGGCATCTATGAATATCTTAAAAATTTATGTATGTAGGCAATTTTTGTGACTTTACGCAGGCTCACACAACATTCTACTTTATTCAAACAGTTTATATGCCAACAAATAAAACATAGACATTGTCATTAAACTAATTACAAAAAAATTTTTTTCAATATAATTTTATTTTGGACAGAAAGTTCATGTAAAAATAATAGTTTGTTAAAAATCGTTAAAAATGTCATATTCATTTTACTATTATGATATATCAGGACACAAAAATTTACTCTTATTATATTGAATATCATTTATATGTCCTCCTTATAAAAAAAATGTAGAAATACATTAAGAAGTAAAAAAAAATAAGCAATATTACTTTACTTATAAGTAAAATTATACTAATTATAAAGTAATATATTTATAAATTAATATAATTAATGACATTAAAATTTTAAATTAGATTTCAGAAAGAATTCAAGAAAAATTACATTAAAGAAATGCATTATAAGCTGTCTTCAACTAAGATTAACGAGTGGCATTAGCAGTTTTTAACCTTATTGAAGTTCCAAAAATGCTAATGCTACTTTTTATTAATATAAAATTCCTGTTTCTATAAATTTACTTTTAACATACGCCTTCTCTTCATTGTTTTGTTGTTGTTCAATGAAAAAAACATTTTTAAATTGTATAATAGAAAAACCAAAGTTAGCAATGAAAATAAATTTAATCACTTACAACTTCATCCTCAGCGAATTCCATAGGTACTTCTTCTCCATCATCCATTTTTTCTTCCTCCTCTAAAACAGAGTTTATAAAAATTTGTTTCTATTTTCATGAAGTTAATCAAAAAGATTTTAGTATTTACAATAAATTTTATGAAATTTTTTAACGTAGGATCTTTTCTAGCCTATAAACAAAAACTAACTAACACGAAAATGCAATACCACATAATGTTAAATAATCAAGAAATGAAGTATTTAAAAGATGTCATACCATCATCACTTTCATCAGTATTAACAGCATGCTCTTCTGATGCCATAATTAAAATATCTGTAAAAATATAAATTTTAATTTGATAATATTCTTTTAGATTAACATAAAATTTTAAATGAACATATGAAAAAGTAAAATATATATACACACAATTTATAATACTTATCAGGAACTTTTTTGCATTGAAAAATTATTGCACATAAATACTGTTAGTTTCTTCTATACAGTTAAAAAATTTTCTTATTTTTTTCTTGCTATTCAATATGTAAATATATTACCAAATATCATGCTCTCAGACATTACATTTTTTCAAGCTTCTGAGTATTATCTTATTCTGAAAAGTACTTTTAATTCTCTTACCCTTTCTCAAAATAATAGAGCAACTATTATTTAATACTAAATAATAAATGTTTGTCATATTTTACTTTAAAACTTCCTTTTTCATTAACTTCTAATACTTTAACAGAAATATACATTCCATTATATGTTTGCTATAATTTTGTTAAGTCTTTTGGTTTTTTACTTTTACTTTTTTTCATTTTTTATTATAGGGTCAGGATGAGATTTCTCATAACTCATTTTTAATAAAGTGTAAATGATGATTTTCGTCTGCCCAATATTCTGAAGCATCTCTGTTAACACTTCATTTTGAATTGGATTCTGTAAACGAACAGTTTATGGGAGATAGGGTTTTTTTTCCTCCTCTATGCTTATCTGTTAAAATACAAACTTTCAAAAATTTCAATATGTTTGATCTATAATCTGGTAATCGTGAAATTCTCACTGCTGAAGAATCTATCTAGATGTTTAGCATTTAAAAAAAGGTCCTTTTTCACAACTAGAACAACACAATTAAGAAATATCAAAATTTGAGTGTTGTTATTCTTTTTTATTATTTAGCTCAAAAGAGCTAAGTCCACATTATAGTAACTCTTTTAAACTATAATTCTGAAATATGACGAACGGCAACATTTATGAATATTCAAAATATTTCTTAAATATCATTATTTTGCACTTACATTGTGCAATGATAACAATGAATATTGAATAAAACAAATTGCTATTTTCATTTCTCACTTAAATTACTAATTTAAGTTGAATGCATACACATTAGAATGTGCTCACATGTGATAGCATATGAGAGAAACAATGACATCTAAGAAGTATTTTGGTGACTATAGAATAACTCCTTGATAAACAACAACATTCAATTTTGGTCTTTAACACAAACAGTACACGATGGTATAGAATAAGGGTTTCCAACTTCCTTCTATCCAGGGCCACATTTAAAAACACCAGTTTACTGGAGGGCTGCAACTTAATCAAAATTCTATACAGTACTCTTTTGTGTTTGAGGGCACATTGCCAAATTTTTAACAAAACAAGTTATACAAAAAAAATTTATTGAAAAACAAATTAAATAAGAAGTAGATATTTTAAAATATTTAATTGAATATTAAAAAAACAATCTGGGTGACTATCTCTGGGTGAATGTGCTCATATGAAGTGCACATATTAAGCAGCTACGATATAAAACCTTAAAAAGTTTGGCATTTGAACCACGTATAATAGCATAATATTCGTTATGTTTTATCTGCAGCATCTTTGATAACTCTTATTGTTTTGATGGTGACCATGTTTATTTTTGATTTTCCAAACTCCAGACAATTCTTTATTAACAGAGAAGCCCTTTTCAATTAATGCTTGTGCATCAAAAATGTAAGATTATAGATTGATGACTGTGTTGAAGAAGATCTTGATTATTTTTTAATAATTTTTTAAAATATATAGTTCACTAATCTATAACTTTTTAACAGAATCTTCATTAATATATGCAACATATTTGCAGAGTATATTTCTCAGTGGATGTAAAATAAGTAAATTTTGCACAATGAAATTGCAGGAAAAAATAAAATGTATAGAATTTATAGAACAAGATGCAAAAGAGATGTTTTTAAAGTTTTAAAAAAATTTTAAAAAATGCACGATTTATAAAAAGCAGTTACCCCTGCATCTTCTTAACTAAAAGTAAGGGTGGATCCTAGAACAGCCCTACCTGTGGCAATTTTTTGAAATCTCGCTAAACTAGGTGTCTGGAATGTAATTCAGGGAGATATGTTGCCACCTTACACATCCTCTATTTTGATTATTTTTATTTCATTTTATTAAAAATATTTTAATAAATTTGTAACAATTCAAATTGCTTTTTTAATAATGAAAAACCTGGCGACATTTCAAAAAGGCGCCAAGGGGTGGGCTATTCTAGGATTTTACCAAAATTAATACAGTGAATTCGCGATAACTCGAATCTGATAGGACTGACGAAAAACTTCGACATATCGGAAGTTCGACTTATCGTTAGTTTCGGTTTTGGACTTTCAAAATATAGACGCATTATTTAATTAATGCTTATTAATTACAAATCTTCTAAATGCTTACAATATTTAAGATCATTTTTCTGACAAGCCATTTACGATAAGACTGTTAGAAGTACTTTATGATACCCTAGTCCATCGGCTGCCACTTTGCTGTTGTGTTTGGCGGGAGAAAAATGCAAGTTTACTGCTTTCAAATTAGGTAGATCACTATGCGCTGTGCATTTATCCATAAAGAGTATCACTTTTCTTTTTTTAGNTTAATGCGCTCGCTCATATGAAGTGCACATGTTAAGCAGCTACGATATAAAACCTTAAAAAGTTTGGCATTCGAAACATGTACAATAGCATAACATTTGTTACGCTTTATCTGCAGCATCTTTGATAACTCTTATTGTTTTGATGGTGACCATGCTCATTTTAGATTTTCCAGATTCCAGACAATTCGTTATTAACAGAGAAGTCCCTTTCAACTAATGCTTGTCCATCAAAAATGTAAGATTATAGATAGATGACTTTGTTGATTATTTTTAAATAGAAAAATATATATTTCACTAATCTATAACATTTTAACAGAATCTTCATTAATATATGCAACATATTTGCATAGTATATTTCTCAGATTTTTTATGTATTATTGGATGTAAAATAAATAAATTTTGCACAATGGCATTGCAGGAAAAAATAAAATTTATAGAATTATTTTGATAATATAGAACAAGATACAAAAGAGATGTTTTTAAAGTTTTAAAAAAATTGTAAAAAATGTAAGATTTATAAAAAACTTTTACCCCTGCATCTTCTTAACTAAAAGTAAGGGTGGATCCTAGAACAACACTACCCATGGCGATTTTTTGAAATCTCGCTAAACTAGGTGTCTGGAAGATAATTCAGGGAGATATGTTGCCACCTTACACAGCGTCTATTTTGATTATATTTATTACATTTTATTAAAAATATTTTAATAAATTCGTAATTATTCAAATTGTTTTTTTAATAATAAAAATAAAACGTTGATCCAATCGTCAAACTGGCGAGATTTCAAAAAGGCGCCAAGGGGTAGCCTATTCTAGAATTTTACCAAAATTAATATAAGGAAACGTTAATCAATACAGATAAGATGAATAATAAAATTTGCAAGTAAAATAGACCTTTCAAACAAATTGCAACTTAAGGGAAAAGTCATTAAAAACAATGATCATATTGCACATAAAGTATTTTTTTCAACACAAATATAGATAAAACTTTTTAACACAAATATATACAAAGAAGCTGAATTATTAAGATGATTTATTTAGCATTAATAGGGATGAAAATGAAAATTTCCTTTGAATAAAAGTAAGAATAATCTCGAGCATATTCAATTGTTTAAATATAGCCAGAACCATAAGAAGACATGCTTTAGAAATATTGCTCTAAACTGTTAAAATCTGAAATTTCAAAAATAATTATGATTTTGATATGTTAAATGTCCCCAGTAGTAGTTTGCAGATGAGTCTCTTACAACATTCTAAAGAATTAAAAACAGTAACAATTAATAAAAACAGCACTACTTTAAAATAATTCATCAACTATCACTACATATAAATTCTTGTTAGTTAAATGGCCGGCTATTACCTTTTATTTGAAATTAAAATCAACAAAATCAAATGTCACTTCGACTTGTTTATGAAAACTTCGATAACAATAGAATATTATAGTCATATCGATATAATTTTAAACCGAAACAAGAACTATGTTAATTCGATATTTCATTCTGATACGAGTTTCAAGATCATTCACGTTCAAAGAACTAATTTACATTTAAATTTAACTATCCTGCATTTTTTAAATAAAGAAAAATAAGTAATACGATCTAACATTTTTTTTGTTTCCTTTTGTTTTGGGAAATAAAAACTCGTGCGACCTCTTCGTGCTCGACGTCCTTCATCTCGCATTTGCAGGTTCCGCATCGGCAGGGAAGGTTGAAGTTTGACATTCAAGAGATAACATCTTTGACAGCTGACGAAATAGTAAGAACTTATTGCTGTAATTTATTTATTAAGTATTGAGTTTAATTAATACGATGCCCATAGATAAACATATTTCAAATCTAAATTTAGCATATATTTCGTCTAAAAAAACCTAAACTTCAGTTTTCAATTGACATTGCATGACCTTGTTCAACCGGTGCCCTAATAGTAGTTAAATTATTAAAGTTTTCCGGTAAATTGTAACTAATACTGAGAAAATATGCTTCGTGCTACTGTAAAATCAAGATATATGCCGAAGAAAATCTTAAGAATTGCTACTATAACAAATGAAAACTAAAATTTTCTGGAAGACATTAACTACATTTTAAATAGGCTGCATTTTTTATTGCAGAAACAATGTAACACTAATAATAATTTTGGCAATATTTTCCTGTTAATTGGGGAGGGAAGGTGTGCAAATAACTTTCTAAAATTTTAAAATTCGTTTCTGTTTTAATGCATACTAAACTTAACATTTGCTTTTAGGTTTGTTAAACTCCAACTCTGTCAAGAATATCTTTGCTCCAATTAATTTATTCCTTAACATTTCTTTAATTTATTGCTTTTCAAATTTGATACTCTTATCTTTCTGAGGCCTAAATTATAATATGACTAATTTTTATGAAAAATAGTTATTGGATCAGTTTATTTAAAATGTTTGATAATAAACTTCTATTTTTATATTAGTTGCTAATTTTTTCTTTTTATATTAGATAATTTTTTTTGCTTTTATCACAAGCATGCTTTGCCATATCTTTAAATAGTTATTTTCGTCTGTGCAGATTACTCTTAGTTTTTAGTGAGTTCAGAGCACTCCATATGGCTTTATCTGGGTTAATAAAATTAAACCAAACTGAGTTTAATCTTGGCAACCTGTGAAAGGAAGAAAAAAATTTGTCCCTAATTTATTTTAATCCCTATAAAAAAAATACCAAATTGACCGGTTTCAGCCGAAACAAATCACTTTTACTAAATTGCTTGATACATTTAGACTTACTGAGAGATTGATACATTAAGAACATCAACCATACATTATTTTACTGTATTGTATCCTATTTTAATTGTTTTAGCCAAACGAATTAATTGAAGTATTAAATATTGAACAAGATTTTATAACAATTGCATTAAATATATATCAAATTGTAGTTTTTCAAAATTTTACTTTTCTGCTTATAATTAAAAAAAAATACTCTTATATTTTCTTCATTTACCAAGTTAATTGTCTCATTTCTATCTTATAAATTTTCTTATAATTTTCATACATAGGAGCATTACCTTTTAAAAGTAACAAGTATTTATAGCAAAAGTAACGAACAAAAAGTTTTGATTTTATAATGTAAGGAATATAAAAAAAGAGTAGAGAGAAAGAGTAAGTACAAAATAAAAAAGAAACTATTTTAAAGTACATTTTGAGGAAACTAAAAATTTGAAACCTTATATTAAGTTAAAGAAAGTTAAAGTTGTTTTTTTTATTTTTAAATGCATTTCGTCTTTTTTTTTTAGTTAAATTGAAATAGTGAAAATTTAAAATATCCAGAAGAAATCAAATTTGAATGTTTGTGTATGAAAAGGAGTTTTATGTTAATTTTAGAATTAGCAAATCTTTAAAAATTTTGTTTTTATTTTAAAAATTTGTTGTAATAAAATAATTTGTTTAACAAATTCGATAAATATTATTTTTGTTTAAATAGATTATCAAAAATAGAAAAATAAAATTTTATTTATTTACATGTATCTCTTTACAATCCATTAAATTAAAAAATTTATATTTCATTTTTATAAGAGTTAAAAGAGAATTTTTAGAATTTTAAGTTGACTTTTTTTTTTAATTTTTGATATAGATATGCTGTACTGAATCCACTCACAATCATAAATTGAGAACAAGTTTCATTTTTAAATTTAGTCGTAGGAAACTAAATTTTTTAAGGCATATTTTATTGTAATTTAATGAAGTTATATTTTAAGAATTAAAAGTCTGAAAATTTAAATTTTGTGCGAGAAATATTTGTTTTAGTTTAATTATGTTTTATGTATGTATGTATTATTTGTTTTAGTTTTGTAAAATTATTTGGAAAAAACACATATAGGGTGACCCAGGGTAATTCACGATCACTCTGTTTCTTTGTGGGGTTGAAGGATTAGTTTTTTCTTACAGTCTTGTCTACTTTTTGTGAAAGATTTAAAGCGGAAGTAATAATTTTGTGCTTTGGTTATAAGTATTAATTATAAGTTTTTGTTTTTTTTTAATGGTGAATAATTATGCCTCTAAATAATTAGTTTCAATGAAGAAAATGTCTCTCTATTTTTAGGCAAAGTTAATAAATTTAGTTTAAAAAATTTTAAAAAAACTTAGTGTATGAAATTCATTTTTTCATTCCCTTTCTGTTCTTAGATAGTGAATTATACAAATTGGACTGTGTATCATTTATGTATCGTCGCAATTAAATAAATTCCTAGTTTTATTATGTTATGTGTAGTTAAGTAGCTTAGATATGTATATTTGAAGAAAGTAATATTTTGCACATGCCTGCAATTAAGTTTGAAAATGTGACTTTTTTTTCTTCCTAAGGGCTAATGATTTCACAAAAACTAATCCATACAATGCTTTCATTTGTTGTACTGGGAGTGATGTTTCACCCCATGTGTTATATTTTTGGTATAAATAGAAACATAATAATCATAGTTTAGAAATATAAGATTTCCAAAGACATTAAGGTGTAAAAGAGGGCAAGAACCACTATGGCAAGCAAAGGACTTAAATTCAGCATTTTTGTTCGATTGGAGCACCTCAATAAGTCTCTATCATATTGTACCAATTCTTCTACTTGAAGCTTCTAATTCCATCCAGATTTATAATTCTTTTTTTTTTCTTTTTTTTTTTAAATTATACTCATTTTTGTCATCAAATAAAAATTATTTAAAGAGAACTTATCTATATTAAATTTCAAAAAGATTAAGAGAAGAGTCTCTTTTTTTTTTTTTTTTAAGAAAATGAAAATTTTTTTTTAAAATATCTATTAAAAAAAATAATCAGAGTTCTAAGTTTTTTAAAAATAATAAAATTAAATTATTTTTTACTTTAACCCTTTCGCGGCGGGAAACGCAAATGCATGCTTATCGCTGAGGCCGGCAGTCTCTCCCACGAGTGTCTGTTCAGGCCAGAGGGTTTTTGCTGTTACTCCTAAATCCATGAAATAACCGAAATATCAAAGTGTTGTTTAATAATGTTCTGTAGAGTATTTAAATGACATTTGCTATACATATATTTCTATAGATATTTTATTTACTTAAGTTATTTCTTGTTTAAACATATATTTTACACTTTTTATTTTTATTATGTACTTACCATTTTATAACTTTTAACATTATATATCTGAAAACTAAATATATGACTTAAAATTCGTTTTATAGTATGAAAAATTTGAAAACACTAACATTACACTAAAAACTGGACCGCAAATCTGAATACCCAACGCTGTAGCGAGGAAAAAAACAACGTCCCCTGCTTACCGAAAACAAATACAGTACACTCTCGATTATCCGAGCGCGGATTATCCGTGCTCATTCGGGAGTCAACAAGAAATTTAAAGAGAAATATTTTCAAGATTTAAAAAATTGGATTCATGAAGCTATAACACTACCCAATTTTTGAAAACAATATTCGTTACTATATTGCAGTATATGGAATATCAGCAGCATGGTCAGAGGTAAAATCGTCTAAGTTATCACGATCGTGGAGAAAGATTACCTCTTGTTGAACAATCTTCTTCAGATAATCAAGAGGAATATGATAATATTCTTGAACAAGCAAAATAAATCGAAAGTTTTGAAATTCTTGATGTAAAAAATCTAGAAGATTGGTTTCAAAGTGATGCATGTGAGTCTGGCTTCCAGTATTTGACAGATGAAGACATCGTTATGTTGTTAAATCAAATAGTAACTGTTGCAGAAGATGTAGTAAATGAGGGAAATACAATTTCTCATTCTGCAGCTCTGTGGAAACTTTATTAGTTTATATGGGGAGTATTTGATTACGGTGACATTAATGTGGTTCGTAAAATATGTGACTATATATGGCCCATTACACATTTTTTTAAAGGAAAATTCCTAGTTTGATGTTATACAGCATGCAAATGCCAGTAATTTTTATATTTTTTGTATTGATATTGATTTTTTCTTTAATAAAAAGAGTTTTCGGATTATCCGTGTTTTTCGATTGTTCATGCGACCTGTCCCGGTGATTAACCCGAATAATCGGGAGTGCACTGTATCATGCACGAAGTTAAAGAGCCCTCTTAAAACATTTCTTTCTCCCCCTAAAAACCACGTGTATGTGAATCATACTACAGTACAGAACCCATTATCAGGAAACCGGAAAACCAAAAAAACTGAACGAAATTCAATAAATTTTCCGCCATTTTTTTTAAAATAAAATTTTTTTTTCCTCATAAGATTTTAGGATTTTTCATTCTTTTTTGAAAGATGTTTACCTTACCATCATTTTGGAAATAATCATTAGTGTATTACTTCATCGTTTTTTCTTCTGTTTAAGATTATTTCCAAATATATTTTTTTTTTAGTTGCGTTTAACAATAAAAAAAAAACGGCTCTTTGTTGCGATTCAGAAAACCGGAAAAATCAGTTATCCAGAATAACAATGGTCCCGATCGTTCCGGATAATCGGTTCCCTACTGTACTCTCATTTTGAGTAGGTCAAATCTACATGTATCTGAAACCATATGGACATACAATGCCATCTTCTGGCAGAAATTTTATTTTTTAAAACGTTCCAGGACACTGGCACAAATGAGTGACTGCCGGGGGTAAATGAGAAAACACTCTGGCACACTGGCTTTTCTGTCGGGAAGTGAGTGCGTTTCTTACTGGCGCGTATGTGTCACAGTCGGCGCGAAAGGGTTAAAGATGTCCGCTTCCATATCAGAATGTTGAAATCTAAGCATCCAGATCAAGACACCCATTGTTATTATCATAATAATTTCTTGTCCTTGTTTGCTTGTAGTTAATGTAACAAAGTATTGATATTTGTTCATTATTTTAGATTTATTGAAAATGCCTATCCAAAAGATTCATGCTCGTCAAATTTTTGACAGCAGAGGTAATCCAACTGTTGAGGTAGATGTTACTACTGAAAAAGGTATTTCTGTTTCCTTTCATTCGTGCATAATGTACTAAAAATAGGAAAAATTAAAACATCAATGCTAAATTTTTTATAGGATTATTCCGTGCTGGTGTTCCTAGTGGAGCTTCTACTGGAATTTATGAAGCTTTAGAAATGAGAGATGGTGACAAAAAAAACTGGCATGGGAAAAGTGTTTTGAAAGCTGTAGCAAATGTAAATGACATTATTGCTCCTGAATTAATTAAAAAGGTACTAATTTTTTCATTTTATCTTTTAATTTTTTTTTTCCTTAACCTATGACTTACTTATTTATGTTGATTCTATTTTTAGGGTATTTGTCCTACTAAGCAAACTGAAATTGATGAAATTATGCTTGCTCTTGATGGTACTGAAAATAAATGTGAGTAGCTTTTTTTTATGAAGTTTTGTTCAGTGAAACCTGTCAAATGTATCTCTATTATAAAGAACCCAATTGATCTTGTATAGTCTTAAACAAAATCTTATGATCATACGTCTGTCTTGTATATTGACCACCGAAATAAGACAAATTTGTCTATGACTGTTATTGGTGTTCTAAATCCTTCCTAAGTTGCAAGGGAGAAATTTTTTCACAGAATTTTATATTATATGTATTACAAATTCACTAAATTAGCGTATTCAACATGGTTTTTAACTATTTTTTTAGAGTAATTCTATGAATTTCCACTTTCTTAAAAATCTTCATATTTTAATGGGAAATTAAATTACATGACTTGTGATTCTTATTACTGAGCGATCCTCTTTGTTATGTCATCTTAATTCGCAATAATTGAAATATAAACTGATATGGTCTTGTCATTCGGTGAAAAACACCCACTCTAAGCTGTTGGGTTGGTAATGCTTATTGAATAGTTTCAAGTAAAATTATTAGTTTTGTAAAGTTTTTTTTAATAAACACACTGGTTATTCTTATTTGTATGAATTTTAATTATTTTATTGAAAAACAAGTCTTTAGAATTTTCATTCATGTAATTTGTATGTTTTAGCAAAACTTGGAGCTAATGCTATATTAGGAGTGTCAATTGCTGTGGCCAAAGCTGGAGCTGAACACAAAGTAAATTATTCATATTTAGGTCTTAAATTATGGTTTTAATGGAATTAGACTTATAAAATATTTGTATTATATTATTTTATTTGCTAGTGCTAAAATCTGAATTCACTATATACTCTAATATAAGATATTTTAAATGGAGGATATAGGAAAAAGCTCATTTGCAATTGCAATCATAATCTCAAGCTTTATACTATTTAAAAATAACTTTAATAACTCTTATTTAGTACAATTAAATTCCTAGTGTTATATTTTTGTAACAAGGCACTTCACAATTTGACATATCATATTAGAAAGGATTAATTAAATTCTCAGTTATTTAGTTGACTTTAATGGGAATCTCAACTAGCTTTTATCAAAAATTTTACGTTCTTAAACTATTAAAAACTAAGTGTAAATTTTTTTAATGTAATCCTCTAGTAATAGGCAGATTTAGGCATTTCAATAAAGCTTTTGTAGTGCATTTGATTTATTTTTCATAAATTTAGGACCTTAATTAAGAAGTTTGTTTTCTACCATATTTTTACTCCTTTACATTAACAAAATTTTTGTCAGATTACTCTTAATTCTATTTGAACTTATTTTTAAAAAGGAATCTATTTGTTCATTTTTAAAACTTAATTCTGTTCTGGACAGGGAGTGCCTTTGTACCAACATTTAGCTGACCTTGCTGGTGTAAAAGAGATCATTCTTCCAGTACCTGCTTTTAATGTAATTAATGGTGGTAGCCATGCTGGCAATAAACTTGCTATGCAAGAGTTCATGATTTTACCTACTGGTGCTAGTAATTTCACTGAGGCTATGAAGATGGGTAGTGAAGTCTATCATCACCTTAAAAATGTTATCAAGAAGAAGTAAGTTGTTCTTTCTTGAAGAGATTTATTCAATTTTAGTCTCATCTTCAGAAATATTTCCATATTGTGATCCAACCATTAAAAACTAGTCTTTGTAATTTAAAGTCATTTTGCTTCATACGTAATATTTTCCAATTATAAACTTCAATAGCATTAAAACAATCATTTTATTATTAAAATTAAATCTTAATAAATTCCTGTAAGGTTTCTTTTAGCTGTAAAATGCCCAATGGCTGTAGGTTTGTAATTTTACTGGTAACAAAACTGTATAAATTTTATTAAAATTGTCCTTAAATAGGTTTGGTCTTGCTGCCACTGGTGTTGGTGATGAAGGTGGCTTTGCTCCAGACATTCAAGAGAACAAAGAAGGTCTGGAACTGATCAAGGAAGCTATTGAAACTGCTGGCTATACTGGAAAAATTGAAATTGGAATGGATGTAGCTGCTTCAGAATTTCATAAAGATGGAAAATATGATTTAGACTTCAAGAACCCAAAATCAGATCCAACAAAATTCCTTTCTCCGGATGCCCTTGGACAGCTCTATTTAGATTGGATCAAGGAATATCCTATTGTATCTATTGAAGATCCATTTGATCAAGATGACTGGGCAGCGTGGTCAAAATATTGTTCTCAAGTTACTAATCAAGTTGTTGGGTAAGTAGTTTAAATTTGTTTTTGCTTTATATGTAATAGTAAGACAGTCCAATTTTACATAAATTTGAGCCAGTGTGTCTTGTATTCAAAGAATATTCTTAAATGAAGGTTATTGTAGTTCTTTTTCATGTATGACAGTACTAAATCCATTTTCCCCTTCATTTTTACGCTATGTTTCTACTATTTAATGAAAGAAAATATTACAAATCATTAACTTGTCATATAAAAAAGAAAGAGTAGAAATGCAGTTTATCCTATTTTCAAGATATATTAAAAATTCCTAAATTCTGGTAGTACTTTAATACTAACCTAACTTATTAGTACTTAGCCTGAAGTATAAGATTAATTGTTATAAAAAAAGTTTTTATTTTTACATTTTCAAAGTATTTCAATTGCCACACCCTTAAGTTGCCTTTTTTTTTTCGCATTTGAGAATATATATATGTATATTTGGTTCTTGAAAAATGTAAATCTAACCAGTTTCTCTCTCTACAAAAATGGCAGTCTTTTTTTTTTCATTATTTAAGCCTCAAATTATTTCTAATTAGCAATTCTCTTCATCTTATTAATCTGATTTTTATTTATTGTTCACCAGAATTTTCATACTAAAAACATCATTCTTTTAAATTTTCTCACCTGGACTTTTTTTTTCCCCTTCTTTCTTAGTAGCATGATTGCTTCTAACTTTAGATTTGTTAATTATGCTTGGCAAAATTTATACTAATATTCATCTGTGGTTAAAATAATTTAAAACTTTGTTTGGCTATTATTCGAACTTATGTTTGAGCGGCCAAAAAAAATAAATTGAAATAAAATTTAAAGCCAGAAATTTCAAAGCTTCTACCATGAAGTAAACTCAGAAAAGGTATTTGTTACACCTGAAGGGTGACATGAATTTCGATCAGTGAGAAGAACTGCCTTTAACTTGAATCTCAATCAGTGAGAACTACCTTGTGAGAGAAGCAGAGCAGTGGAAAAGAGCCCTAAGACAAGTAGAAAGACTTTTTCTAGAACTGTTTNTGACAGCAGTGTTGCCAGATTAGGGGTTTTCCCCTTAAATTTAGGGGAATTTTTAATCTTCAGTGGGTATTTTAGGGGAATTTGCTTTTAGGGGTTTGTTTTAGGGTTATTTGTGAATTTTACTTGTTTCACTTTGGTTATGTTCTAATATCAAATTTTGTAACTGAATGTGTGAGATGGTAATATGAAAATGAATTCAAACTTATTTCAACTCTTGTTTTAGCTCTATTAAGTATTCCGTTTTCAAATGCAGCTGTGGAGAGATGTTTCTCCATCTTAAATATTATTAAAAACAAATTGAGACATAAATTATCTATAACTATTTTGCGCTTCTTCTATGTTGAAAATGTTTAGCACCGAAAACATATACAAATCAGAAAGTATTGACGAAAATATGTTGGATATTTTATCAGAAATTTAAGCGTAATGTTAGAATTAAAATATGAAAAATACTATATCATTGGTAACAAAATATTTATGAAAAAATGTGCCAGTCAAAAAGTATTGAAAAAAATATCCTAAATATTTTAGTGGCAATTAAAGATAATGTAACGATTGAAATGTAAAAAAGATTAATTTGTTGATAGTAAAATATTAGAGTATTAAAGCAACGTTTTCTATACATTATTTAACTTTTGTACTATTTTTAATACTTATACATTAAGTCAAAAGTTTTGGGGTTTTTTAAAAAATTTTAGGGGATTTTACAACGCCATCTGGGGGTGAACGGTTATCGGCACCTGCAACACTGAATGACAGTATAATTTTTGAAATTTGCCTCAGCAATAGTTTTTGTTTCATTAAGATTTTTAGTTTAGTCTTCAATAAAATCCAATGTAAAACTTTTTTGAAGTTTTGTTCTAGAAACCTTTCGAATAAGTTCTACTGTTTCTTCAATCATAACTACAAATTTTATATTTCTTAAAACTTACTTTTTCTTACTTATTTTACTTAAACTTACTTATTTTTTCTCTTTCAGAGATGATCTCACTGTCACAAATCCAAAAAGGATTCAGATGGCTGTTGATAAAAAATCCTGCAATTGTCTCTTACTGAAGGTGAATCAAATTGGGAGTGTAACTGAGGCAATCAAAGCGTAAGTGCACCATGCTGTAATAACAAACAATTTGGAATGACAAGCAAACTTGTAATTTGGAAAATTCTCACAAGAATTATCTAGATACCTTACTTACTAAAAATACTTTAAATTCCAAAATTTAAATTTCCCATAATTTTTTAAACTTGGTGGAAAAACTTAAATATTGAAACTAAGAAGACTCAAAATTCCAATTAAGTCTAAATAAATCATATTTCTCATTTATTAGCATGAGCACCCTGAAGAGAGTAAAAATAATACATTTGCACCTCCTTGGAATCAATAAACTAAAAATTGTTTTTCTTCCAACTGTATTTATTTTAAATTATTACAAATGTATGTTGTATAGCACACAAAATCTATTCATATTTATATAAGTTTTTGATTTTGTAGTCAATATTATTGTCTTATGTTGAGTAATAAAAGTAACTGTTTAGAAATATTTTTCCTTGACTGCCGAGCGTTATTAAATTTTCATTTGTAACAAATATTCAAAAGTAAGAGATTATAGAATTAAGTAGTTAAACACCTTGAAATTATGCTAGTTAACATGCATATGTATTATGCTACATCTTATCAGATAGCTAGTTTGAAAAGTCTGCATCTTTGTGTGTATATTTCCTTTTATAACTGGCTTTGAACAGCCAACGTAATTCTGAGTAACAACTATCAATGTTAAACTGTGTAGCCTTGTAATTTTGACCCTAATCCAGATGACTATGGAACTTCTAAATAAGGCATTGGAATGAACTAACCCGCATTTGTTACATGGGGGGGGGGACTACAAAAAACCTCCATAGTTTGCCAGACGTCGAAGGGCTTCTAACCAATGATCTGTGACCACTGAAGATGTTTTATGTCAGCTCTGTGTACTGGGAACAGAATTCATATTGACCATCCAATGCTAGGATTTGAACCTGGATCACCTTACTAAGAGCCTTCCATTTCCTGAACCGCTGCAGCTCTGTGCATATTTCAAAAATAGTATATATATATATATATAAAAATATTTTCCCTAATTGTATCACTTTGAGAAATCTTCTGTGAACACCCTTGGCCTAATTCAATAAAAAAAAAAATTATTTCTATTGAAACTTAAAATTAAATATACTAGAAAAATGATTTTATGAGTATTCGTTAAAGTTATTTCAAAATAACATTTTAGTTTACAATATCTGACTTGCATCACAAAATATTCTTAATTTAATAGATTTTGTTTTAATAATTTTACTTTTAGGCACAACTTGGCTAAATCTAATGGTTGGGGCACTATGGTATCTCACAGGAGTGGTGAAACTGAAGATGCCTTTATTGCTGATCTTGTTGTTGGGCTTAGCACAGGCCAAATCAAAACTGGAGCACCCTGTCGCTCTGAGCGTCTTGCCAAATATAACCAAATTTTGCGTATTGAAGAACAGCTGGGCAGTGCTGCTAAGTATGCAGGGAAGAATTTCCGTCATCCTATCTAAACTTCATCTCTTCAACATTCTCTCTGTGACGTTTGTCAAAATTCCCAGTGGTTGTTTTGTTGCTGTAAAATTTTTATTACAATTTATAAATTTTAAGTCTAAATATAGCTAGTCTATTACAATGTTCACTATGTTCCATTATGTATTCTAAGAAATTAAAAGATTGTTATACAGGATAGTTTTTGTCTTTTATAAATTAAATTTATTTTCACTTTCTACAGGTTGAACATTCTATGTTTCTCCCGGATAATTCGGAAAAGAAAAATAAATTTATGATTTTCTCCTTCCACTTAGAGCACTGACTTGATCTAAAACATTTTCCTGAAATTCAAAACTTCAGTATAGAGACAGTAATGTGCTCAGCCTACTTTACCAAAGGGGGGGGGGCAAGGAGATTAAAATGCTTGAAAAAGTCTCCAAACCTTAAAATCTTTTTTTTTTTTTTAAATTTCTTAAAGATTACACCTTTCTAAATATGAATTTGGAAACTATTACAATGTTTTGTTTGTATAAAATTATCATTTTTAATTCTCAACATCAATACATTTTAAATTTAATAATGTATTTAATGAAATAGGATAATGACATGAATTCATAGAAAATTGCATTACTATTTCCCTTCCAACTTTTCAATTAAAAAATTCAATTGTAAAGAAATGTTTCTTCTATGACCCTTCTCTATTCTAATCAAATTTTTAATTGTTCTGTTTCGTTTTCATAACACAAAACTATACTATAATTTAGCATATCTTAATATCTCTTTTAGCTATTATTTATTTAGTAGTATTTTCAACTTACGTGTATAAACAAAAACAATTTAGAGCAAGCCTCCAAATTTTACTGCCTGGCATAAAACCTATTTGTGTAATTATTTTTGAAGATTAATTTCATTCATCACATTAAAATTTTTCAAAACAGTTAAGTCTAATTGCTAATGTGCTTTCAATTGCTAGTAAACTGTGTTTATAATGGTTCCACCAAAAAAAGGCAGATTATTTAGGTTTCCATGGACTAAAATAATAGGAAACTGCTGGTTTATCAGGCAAGTGTATGCAGGTAATGTAACTTTATTTATTTTTTTTTTTAATGTCTGGTGAATTGTACAATGGTATCTACACTAATATTTTCTTTAATCTTTAGTCAGAAAAAAGAAAGTGCAAAAACTTTAGTTTCTAAATTCGATGCATCTAGTACTTTTCGTTCGTCATGCATCCTAATTCAGAAACTGAAAATAAATTCTGTCTGCTGTGTTTTAACCATTTTCATTTTAATGTGTTAAAGATTAAAGCTTTTCTTAAAATATACTATTGTGATATTTGTCGTACAACTGCTGCAAAAATATACATTGAAACAATTGTCATCTTTCTAAGCCTTTATTAAATTTAAAAATTTTCTGCTAAAACTTTGGTCGCATTAGTTACATAGAGAGTAAAACAGTAAAAATCTCCCACAGTGAGCCGGACAGCAAGGGGACTCTTAATCATGACCCGTCTACCAAGGAGGATATTTTGCGTCAGCATTGTGGTCAATTCGCATCGTCCAGCCATCGCTGGGATTCGGACCCGGCTTACCTCATTGACAGTTAAATGCGATATCCCCTGAATTTCCTCGGCTCCCAGACAGACATACAAATTTCCGAATTTCTTCTAGAAAACACGGTACACACAAACATCGCATTATCTACTTCAAACGTAAGGTTGTTTTTTTTCTCCGTCAGAAACCTTCTGAACAATTAAAAAATGTGACTTATCATTATATTGCCCCAAGTCCGTAAATTTAAAAAGAAAAACAAAACTTAGTTAATCATTTTCAAGTTGCATTAATAATCAAATCTATCTTTTTTTTTTTTTTTGTATGCATAATAATTGTGAACTGATTGAGGGGTCATGGCCCACCCTACAAAAATACTTATAGTTACCTTAAGGATTTAAAATGAGCTGAAAACTAACTTAAAAAGAAAATTTCTATAAACTTCATGAGAGATTTCTATCAATATACACAGATACTTTTTTTTTTTTTTTTGAAGAAAAAGCTAGTTTTTTATACAATACTTTCTCCGAGTATTTTCGTATACTTATTGATTGTAATTGAAAATTTCAATCAGATTACGCTCTACAATTCTGTGTACTAATATCCTCTTATTTGTATGTTAAGTGAGGAATGAAGACAAAAAAAGAATCTTTGTTGAAGGCAGCTAGATTTAAAAATGGATGCTAGAGAGAGATAATTATGAATTTATAACAAACATTTATGTAATAAATTCTTACATAATAAATAGTAGTTATTAGTTTAAAATGTTACTACAAAGTTTTTAAGTTGTTAAATCTTTTTTTTTTTTTTCGGAAGATTTAATAACAGAGACTAACTTTTTTTCGTTTCATCAAAAAGAATTTATTTCGTTATTTCTAAGTTTAAAAAAAAAATTTCATATTTTGTTCAGTTTTTCTTAACCAAAAAAAAATTACAAATATATTGGCGATCGCAACGCCATCTAGAGAGACACCAGTTTCAAGCCTTTGGGACCTTCCCTCTCCTCCTCCTTTCAGTTTTATAGGAATGTACTACGATATTTTCCCTTTTCTTATTATTTTTCCTATTATTTTTCTTATTATTTTTTCTAAATATTTGTTAAAATTCCTTTGTTGCTTTTCTTCAGAATTATGTTTAATGCAGTGCGCCGTGTGAGTGACTTAAAAAGTACATTTTAGTTATCATCATCTTTGTAGAAAAAGCGAGAAACTTATGTCACATATATCCCAATAGATGGCACCATCATTAGAAGTAGTCGTTATCATTTCTTACTAAAGTACGAAATTAGTTTCTCCTCTCAAGCTATAAGCGCAGTATTTCTTGCCACTGATCATCTAGCTAGATATTGTTGTTTTTATTTTTAGAAAAATAGGGACTTCGATTTTTATGAACTCGAATTAAAATATTTTCTTATAATAACTTAACTCTTTTACATAGACATTTAGAAACACTGCGGGACAAAATGCCTAGCTATTGTTGTGCTTTTGGGTGTAATAATAGCTCGGCTAGAAGCGAATGCTTAGAAAAAGGAATTTCTTTTCATAAATTTCCATTGGAAAATAAGGATTTATTGAAAATATGGCTTTCTGCTTTGAAGAGAGCAAATTTTAAGCCAAATATTCACTCTAAGATCTGCTCGGAACACTTCACTCCTGATTCATTTGACATCCAAAATTTTTCGAATCGTCGTTTTATTAAGGAATCTGCTGTACCTTCTATTTTTAAATTCAATTTTAAAAAACCACCCAGAGTTCAATCATCTGATCCAACAGTTCTTAGAGAGTAAGTTATTAAGTTTATGCCTCACTGATCATTTTCTTAGCAAATTTCCCCTTTATAAATTTGAAAAGATAGTTAAAATTTTATTTCAATTTAAATGTATGATTTTAAATCATTCCCATAGCTGCCAACTCTACTGAATTTATACCAGTTGTCTGCTGGAGTAATAGTTCTCAATGAGGGGCCCCCTTTTATTTTTGCCGATTTTTCGACAGCAAAAATTAATAGATATTTGTTGTGCTTTTTACACATTTTAAAACTACTGAAACACAAGATTGACACTGAATATTTAATACGGATATTTATTTAACATCTGCATAAAAAAAAGTTCAGCTTCTACAAAAAGACGAAGTTTAGTTGAAAAAAAGTTCCCCATATAAAAAAAGTTAGTCAAAGCTTTTCAGAACAACGAAACAAAAATAGATCTCATCTGTGGGGATATTTCCGTATCTTGATCTGTCACACCAACTACAATCGCCAAGTTGCCAAATGGGATTTTAAACTTGCAAGTTTTTTTTTTAAAAAACATGTAGATGTTTACCCGGGGTGGCTACGAGTGATACCTTTCAAGTTGGTCCCTTTTTGTGAAGTTTTTTTTTTTTTTAGTTTCTCGCATTCCACTGCCCTGAAGTTTCCAAGACTGGGCAATTATTCTGCCACAGATCACAATACGGAAATCTCCACTCATCTGTGATCACAAAAAGATGTTTTTTTGGCCATGTGTATATTAAGTGTGGAGTGCACATTCTTTCATGCATTACATTAAGTTCCAGAACGGATTTTTTCTGTCTGATCCCGGTACTGACATCTCCACACGTATTCAGCAAAATAAGAACAGAGGATTTCTTCAGAGCACTGGTGAACATTTTGCTTGCAAAACTCTCGCTTTCTCTGACTCCAAATGCCCTCAATTTCATTGGTATGTGCACCATTCTCGGGATCATTTAAATTTACCGAATGATTGTCAGATATATGCAGAAAACTTATAATTTCAAACTTCAAGCAAAATCTTTTTCATACAATCTATAACCTAAAAAAAATTAAAACACTTGCTTTTTCAATACCACCCAACGCCTACTTACCATTTACTTCTTTACATCAATAATATTTTCTCTTATCAAACTTGCTTTCATAAATTTCCACCACCATCTCTACAAAAGTTATTCCAAACAACCATGATCCATTTTGGTGATTTTTTCTTTGTCAATTGTCTCCATGAATTACATAAAAAGCATGATTTCTTGCAATGTTCTGTTTAAAGTTTTCACTTATTGTTCAGTGTACCATCGTCTGTATCGTACCAATGGGTCATCATTCTACATGCTATTCATAGGTCTGTATGCGTTTGCATTGAGCTGGAAACGGTAAGAAGGATTCTTGCATTCACACAGGATTCTTACATACATAGAATGGAAAATCTTGAATTTTTGTTGATCATGGGGACCAACTAAACATTGCCTAGTTTTTCTCCCAATAACGAAAGAAAATGTTCTTTTTTGTTAATTTCTTTGCTGATGAAACGCCTTCACTGCAGGCAAGCCAATGACATTCTTGCACACAGGGCTCGGAAAATCTCAGAAATTTTACCCGTCCCCGAGGACGGCTTGTCCAACAATGTACCCGTCCTCCTTTGAAACTAACCCGTAGCTTCTAAATAAATAAAAATATAATTTTCTCCTATTTATTACAAACATTTACATAAATTGCACAATGAATTAGTAGTTACTAGGATTACATTATACAGTAATAAAAGAAATACTAAGTTTCTAATAGTAACCTAGTATTTTTTTTATGAAATAATTTATTTCTTTTATGAAATAATTTAAATGACAAAGGTCAAGTTATCTGAAATGTCAATTTATCTGTACTGCGTTTTTTAAATGAATCAAATATGACGTTTGCCAGTTCCACAATCAAGCCAATGATTTACAGAGGTTTCTGCACAGAAATCTGAAAGGGGTTTTCCATTTAGGTAGATGTTAATATTTACGTTTAACGCTTCTTGTTTCAGATCAGTACGTAATGTGTTTTCTTGTAAATTCATTGCTGAAAAGTTCTTTCAACGGCTGCAGTACTCCCAGACAGAGAAAACATCAATTCTAATAACAAAAATTGAAAATGTATCACGAAAATTAACGGGAAAATGGCCGTCCGCGCGGACGTCGGATTCGAGAAATTCGCTGTCCGCAGGGAATTTTTAACCGCCGAGGACGGGCGGTTTTTCGAGCCCTGCTTGCACAGTTCTATTTACAGTCCAGTACCACAACTTGACTGTGGAATAATACATCAATTATTTTCATGGGAATCTAGAACAGCCATCAATCACAGAGCTTTCCCCACTTTGAAATTTTCATTTCCCTTTTGTTTTGAATTAATTAAATTTAGATTTTTCAATCACAGGTATTTGTGCTTGCAGGACCTTCCACTAATTGTGCAAAATATTTTAGGTTTTTTGTTACAGTCTTATTTTACTGGATTTGTGTCGTGAATTTCAGACAGTCGAAACCTTTACTCTTCCCACTCTCTTGACATCACCTTATCTGTGATCATCTTATCTGTGAGCAAATATACAATATTCACGTTGGCAGTTACTATCATGGATATTGGCGAGAAAAAAATCCTGAAAAACAAGTGCAGATGCAGAACAAATCATTACCAGAAAACTTCTGATTATTATTAACATATTTTGTGTTTGTTTTAGCATTTCATTTTATAACACATTTGAGAGTCTGTCCATTTTTTAAAAAATGTAGGGGTGAGTCCGGTAGCCCCGCCCACTTAAGGAGTATTGCTTATATTTCTGTATAATATTGAGTAATAATCAATATTTTTGTATGTTTCTATTATTTTATTATCTAATTAAATAATGCAAAAAGAATAAGCCAAAAAAAAGAATAGTTTAACTTAAAAAAATAGAAATTTAAAAAAACATGTTTTTCAGCTCTTTTCAAAATGTGTCGGGTAGCCCCGCCCAGTTACAAAAATTGTGTTTTTTGGCTATTTTTTCAGGTGTAAATGAGAATGACCAATGTATTGACAATAGATAAACCTCATTTATCATTTTTATCACAAAATTATTTTATTTATTACATATTTATATACTTTTAGTGAATTCTATCATTTAATAACAACAAATGTCATACTTTTTATCATTATTAATGTATATTAATATATTATAATATTAATATATATTTATATTAAATATTTAACGAAAATAATTTAATTTAAGTAACAATAATTAATAACAATAGTTGTTTTTCAATATAAACTTATTTGGTTGATCTCTTCTTATAAACTTAATATAAAATACTTCTTATAAAATTACAAATTCACTTTGTATTTTGATTGCATTCAAATGCTTCTGTAGATTGATTCGTTCACAAATAAGTGAAAATAAATAAGTAAGCAAATAGCTTATCATAATATTTATGATTTCTTGATATTAAATTTAATTTGGATATATCAATTACATTTTAAAAATATTTAATTTTTCATTTTTAAATATATAAATTTATGTTTCATATAATATTAAAACATATATTTGTTGTTAAAAATGCATATAACATTCAAATTTGAAGCAATAAAATAATAATCTTTGCAACCGTACATTTATCGACGAAATAAAATTGGGCGGTGATACCCGACATTCATGTGAGCGGGGCTACCCGAAATCCAATTTTTTTGTAAATTTGTAATTACTCGAACAATTTTTTACATACAAACTTCTTTCTTTGTGCAAATTAAACTTAAGACTACATACTTTAATGCTGTATGTATAGAAAAAATTATTTTTTTAGTATTAAAATGAAGTTTAATCGAAACATTCAACCAATTTTTCTTAATTTCATGACTACTGTATTCAACATATTTTCAAAACTATTGTTTACCATGTTACCAGTTGCATAAATACTTGAAACTTTGAAAATAATCTTTTTTTAATATAACAATTAATGCCCGATGGCCCATTGACTTGAAAAAATATTCTATACATATGAAATTGACAGTGGGCGGGGGCTACTTTATGTCTGAAATAAAAAGCTCATTGGCTATTTATGCTATAGTCTAGCTTTCAATAATGTTACTTATATAAATATATTTTTAATTTTATAGATTGTCTTCTTTCTGTTCAGCTCCTGGCTGTAATAATTTTTCCAAGCGGAAGGAGTGTTTAGAGAAAAACGTTACTTTCCATCCTTTTCCCCTGAAAAATGAATTTCTATTAAAGTTTTGGCTTGTTCAAATGGATATGATTGACTTTAAACCAGATTCCACAAGCTTCCTCTGCTCTGAGCACTTCGAAGAAGATTGTTTTTCCTATCACAAAATCTCTGGTAAATATGATTCTAACTTTAGAGGTTTAAGAGCCACTTTTGGTCTATGTAAGTAATTATGAGTTTGCCCTTTCACTGTTATCTAACTGCAATTAAAAAATCCAGTTTTATCAATATGCTCAAAATTAATCATAATATCAAAAAAACACTAGGTAATTAAAAAATAAAAATCACTTTTATTGATTTAAACTATTAATTTAAAATCTTTAATTTTCAGTTTAAAATATAGTAGTTTTAGAGTTAAATTACTAAAAATTCAATTTGGTGCATTAAACTCGAATTTTCGATCTCTTAATGCATACTCAATTATTTAATCCATTAACAAAGAAAACAAAAAATTTTAAAAAAGAAAAAATTATATCTTAACAATGAATGTTTTTACTAGGATTGATCAAACTGCTGCAGGAAAAGCAACAATGTCATTTGATACTTGGGGTTATTCTCATTTTCTCTTTCAACTACTCATAAAGAAATTAATTTATTTTTTATTAAAGCACTGAAGTATTACTAGTCTCCTTGAACTGGTAATAACCTATTTTCTGCTTGATTTCTACTGTTTTCGTATACTTTATGCGCAATAGAATGCAAAGAGAATCAGTGGAGTTATTAAGTTGTGAGACTATGAATAAAATTATCAACAATTTAGCGAATACATTTTTATCATGTGCCTTCACATACCTTTAGAGATATAAAATTCTCGGTTATGTTCTTCTGGGACAATATTCTCGACAGGGAGAATGTTCTCTTAAAAGTTACTTAAAATAATTAGGTACCTTAAATATTTTATTTATTACTTTATATAATTTTGAAAAATGTATACAAACAGCTAATAAAAATAAAGTAAGAAAATCACATTAGCAATAAAAGAAATGTGTTACAGCATATCGTATGTCTTGAATTATTGATAAGGTAAAATGTAGGTCCTAAAAAATTTCATGCTATTATCGCTAATAATACCACAGCTGTGCATCTTACACAACAAATTTATTATTTGGATATTTACTGAAAACAAATTCATTGTCTCAAATGGAAAATAATTGCATTCATAAAGAAATCAATAATTTGCCTGCATTGACTGTTACATTTTATTCCATTAAAATTTCTAAAAAAAATAATAATAAAACACCCTAGATGGCCATTTTCTTGAAAATGTTAGTTAAAACTCTCTCAACTCTGATCTGTTTCTCAGTAAATGCAACGCATCTTGCTTTCTGGATGAAAATATTATTTGGCTGTCTGTTTTAAATGTTCATGATTTGTTGAATCCTATTGTGAAATGGATCACAGTATAAGAGTGGTACAAACTGTCCATTGGTATGGTTGTTGAAGCAGTTGCTAAAATTGATTGGCAAAAGCTTGCAAAAACGTTTACCATGAACTTAATAATGTGAGAAAAAAGCTATGGCATTAAAACTTATTCACTATGCAGCTAATGTTTAGAAAGTTTTTTATGCTTTTTATATATACATTGGATCCATATAGATTAACTATGAAATATAACTAATCTATTTTGTTTGAATTTCTTACAGTAATGCATTCAAAAAAACATGTTTTGATGTACCCATTTTACCCCCAGAGTGGAGTAACGTGGGAATAGTTCTAAAAAATATACGTTGATAATGTTATTGAAATAAAAATGTTCTTAAATAAATGTATTTTAGTTATATTTAAGAAGAAAAAATACAAAAAAAAAAATTTTTTTTCATATTAAGAATTAATGTTCATATCTATTGAAATTAGGTTTCACTTTGAATGCAGTAGTACATTTTGCTGAATTCTACAAAGTTTCAGAGGAGGGAAATGGTTTTTGTTATATTTGAAATATAAATGAGATTGTAAAAATTAATACCTATTGGGATAATTTAAAGGGTTTTTGATAGATTTTAAGCAGACATGTATTTTTTATTTTTTTCAATTTAATTATTTTAAGGAAATTGTTTTGTTTTCCATTAAAAAAAAACTGCTATATGAAGGCAGAAACTTGTGTTAAAAACTAGTCTATATTTTTAAATATTGTCACTAAGTTGAACCATTATGCTAATTTGGTAATTTTATTCGTATAATATGTCTGTTATATTGTTATTTATCATCTATTATTCTTTTGCAAAAATGAATTTTGTTTCCAATTTTAAAATTATCTTGTTGGGTTATAATCAAATAAGTCAATGATTAAGCTATTTTAATAAATAAATTCAATATATAAAATATAGGGCATTAGATGCTTACTAAAGCTACCACAGAAGTTTAAAGAAAATATCTCTATTATACAACATTTAGCTAAGCCTAACCAAATACCCACTTCACCTCACCTCAGAAAACAATTCATAGTAATTAAATTTTAAAATTTATTCTTAAATTTCTGTGTAAATCTTTTACTTGCATGTCCCTCTATCACTTTGAACTAAAATTTATATATACAGTACGGAACCCGTTATCAGGAAATTGGAAAACCAAAAAACCGGAGCGAAATTCGATAAATTTTCCCGCCATTTTTTTTAAAAAATGTTTTTTTCCTCATAAGATTTTAGGATTTTTCTTTCTGTTTTGAAAGATGTTTACCTTGCCAGCATTTTGGAAATAATCATTAGTGTATTACTCCATCGTTTTTTCTTCTTTTTAAGATTATTTCCGAAGAAAAAAATTTTTTTTTAGTTGGGTTTAACAATAAAAAAACGGCTTTTTGTAGCGATTCAGAAAACCGGAAAAATCAGTTATTCGGAATAGCGATGGTCCCGATCGTTCCGGATAATCGGTTCCCTACTGTATATATATATTTTTTGCCAGTTTTTAATAATATTAGTTAGAAGAAAGTTCAACAGCAACCTAAACTAACATGCTATATAAGTTGATCATGAACAGATAGTTTGTAAACATTAAACTTTTTTATCGGTTTCTAAAACTGAAAAAAAAGACTTGCCTAAACGTCTTTAAAAATAATAAACTAATTATTTTAATTTAAAAGGAGAAAATAGATGTTTTTCAATGTATCCCTACTTTGCCCCATGTACCTACTTTACCCCATCTGACCCTACTTAATGAATAGAGCTAACAAAACATCAAATATTTTATCATAAATTACTAATATCTCCTGATTACTGTAGCTTAGCTTAAAATTAATTATTTTATTTATTAAATTGGTATACTTACAGATGTAAAGAAAAACTTTTTGAATGCTTTTATATTTATTTATTTTTATGTGCAGGGAAAAAAGCCTTAGAGAAAGATGCTGTTCCAACAAAATTCAGATCAAAATCAACTATTGAAAAACCAGATCCACCTGGTGTATGTACAGAGCCTACTGTTTTGCGCATAACGGAAGCCAAGAAGCGGAAATATGTAGAGTGTGATGATGACTTTGAGTATGTCAGATGTTTACCTACTTGTTCTTTCAGCATGAAATTAAATTATTTTCCTACGTATTCATTAAGTTTTAACTGAAGAATAGTTTCAAACTTTTGGCTCTAATGTGGACAATTGTGACTAGTTATTGTGAGTTTTTATACCAAGTTCCTAATTTTTCTTTTATGCCCTAAGAAGCGTGTTGTTACTTTGACCTCCCAAGTTTAACTCTATTAAAGCTTTTGGATGGCTGATGTCATCAAACTTACATTTTTTCTGTATAGTTTCCTTTAAAAAAAAAAAACAATCTTATGTGGAATATTCATAATTAGAAGATCTTCTTTGTTGATCCTGTAAATTTTGCTTCACATTTTTCTAGTGTTCCATTTTTTAAACTAGGCATTTACTTTCCTGCTATGTGGAATATTTATAATAAGAAGATCTTCTTTGTTGATCCTGTAAATTTTGCTTCATATTCTTCTAGTGTTCTATTTTTTAAACTAGGCATTTACTTTCCTGCTCCCACATTTCACCTCACTGATTTCATCTAGGTACATGTTTTGTCAAGGTTAGAACAACATATACACCCGACTGTCCAGTCTAATGTGTTGGAAGAGTATGCAAGATTGGACTGAGTTCTACTTCCTAACAGCTCTCCCATAGGCAGGGGAATAAAAACTTGCTATGCATTTTAAAATATATGATTAATGTAAAAGAAAAGCAAATGCTTATTAGTAAACTATATAAATGTGAAAAATTATGACTAGGAAGGATCAAAAGTATAGTTTTTACTTTGAGACTTAAGTCTTTAAGAAATGACTGCTTTTTCTTTTCAACCCTTCCTACCTCATTTTTTCCTTCTCCACCTACCATGAGGGACGCCCGGTGGCTGAGTAGTAGCGCTTTGCGCTACCGTGCCACAGGTCCTGAGTTCGATCCTCGGGCTGGGCGAGGTTGATTCAACCTTTCATCCCTTCAGTGGGTCGATAAATGAGTACCGAGCATGCTTGGGGAACTAAACACTGGGGGGTTTTGCTTTCGGCTGACCACCAAACCGGAAAATCTGCTCCTGCACCTAGAGCCCAAGATCAAGAAAACTGAGATGGGCACAGTAGGCCTAGGCCCTCTATAAGCTGTCGCGCCAGAGTTTAGTTTAGTTTACCTGCACTGGATAGTACATAGAGCCAAATATGCAATGATGGTCAGGAATTACTTGATTTCAAATATGGCACTTAGCACACCATAAGCCTGTTGTTTTGTTCCACTTGTTTTACCTACGTATTAAATACTTAATTTTTGTCAGAGTCGGGTACTTAGAACCATGTCTCGAAGTTGATAAAAAAAAATTTAAAAAAAGACTGTAAAAAAATGGATCTAAAAAAATGACTGAAAGAATTATAAAATATGAAAGAAAAAGCAACCAAAGGAAGAAAAAAAAGCCACATCTTAGTCCTGATTATTAAAATCTGCAAAACTAATGTAATCAATACTGGTGCATATCTTTAAAATTAGTTTAAATTTGGAGAAAAGAAATTTACCAGTCTGTTGCATTTTATTTTATTGGATTCTTAACTTAATTACATTTTCTTAATTTTAGCTTCAACCGCAGTTCTGTTACAATACCTGAATGTATAGATGCTTCAGTGCAAACTGCTGTCTCTGGTGTGTCTACTCAACTTTTACTGCAAGCCAGTTCATCAGAATATTCTACAGTATTTCTTGGCTCTAAAGACGCAGGAATGCAGACTCGAATGGACGGAATTTCAGCTCTACTTATAGAAAACACTTCACTTCAGAAGGAGTTAACTGAGCTGAAAGCAAAAGTAGATCGACTCACTTTCAGAGTTGAAGGAATAAAAGATGACAGTTTGATGAAATCTCTTTCTGGATTCTCTGCAGAACTTTTCAAGGCTATCTATGATTACTTGTTTTTAGAAAAGCACCTGACAACTTATTCTAATATATCACCTTATAATCAGTTCTTTGCATTTTTAATCTACCTGCGAACAGGTATTTCTCAGTTTTTTCTTTCCATTTTGTTTAAAATAGGTCAACCGAGTACATCGAGGATATTGAGCAATGTTTCGAGTTTCATGTACAACAGAATAAGACCTATCAAAATCTGGCCTTCAAGAGAACAAATAAACAGAAAGAGTTCGCCCATCTTCTTTCGCCACTATCCCAATTGCCGAGTTATTCTGGAAACGGTCGAGCTCCAAATACAGCGTCCAACTAGTGTGCAAACTCAGCGGTTGACTTTCAGCACGAAAAAAAATACCTACACCATCAAGGGATTGGTTGGAAAAACTCCGACTGGTGGTATCTCTTTTATATCAGATGTCTGGCCAGGTTCTATTTCCGAGAGAGATCTCTTTTTGAAATCTGGAATTTTAGACTGTTTAGAAAAAAATGACCTGGTCATTGCTGACAAAAGCTTTGATATCCGAGAAGAACTTGAAGAAAAGGGATGTTTTCTTTGCACTCCTAAATTTTTGACTGACAGAATTTCATTTAGCCATGAAGAACAATTGTTATATCCTAATGCTACCCATCATAGAATTCATTATGACCTAGCTACAAGTAAATTTAATAAGTTTAAGTTTTTTGATGGACAAATTTCAACAATGACATTTGACATTGTTAATGAATATTTTTACATAATTGGTTTTCTCATTAATTTTGGAAAGCCTTTAATACACATCAGGCAACATTAGTTTCACAATTCTTCTGAAGTGGAAGTTACCTGAAACAGCAGCTAAAATATATGGGTTTTTTTATGCTTTCATGTAGAAATACTGCTTTACATCAGTAATCATAATTTTTATGGTCATTATTTTCATATGGTGTAGTTTATTTTTTAATCATCGTGTTATATTACAATGAATGTTCGTGGTTTGTTAAAATTGTTCCAACTGTGATATCATGTTATAGGTATTCTTTCCATAATTTTTTTTAATGTTTTTTCTGGAACTGAAAATTCAACTTTATTTATTGACAAATATTTTAGCATGTCTTGCATGATGATATTGTTGATCTCCTTTTAATTTTGTTTTAAGGAAAAACCGAGGTAACCGATAAAGTAATGTTTTTTATAAACTTTTTCATTTAAGAAAAAAAAAAAACTTTTTGCATTATAAAATTAAATATCCTATGCGGTAGTTTCTAAACATCTAAACTTTTGAAAGCAATTAGCTCACTTTATCCATATAATTCTACTCTCAGCTTTATCACATCCATTAACTTCATTTCTTATTAAACATGTAGTTTTTACAGTGCTTGAATAATTTTTTTTTTAATTATTATTAATATTATTATTATTATTATTTTTTTTGAAAATGTAAATTGTAAAGGTAAAGGATGAACTTCAATATAAATATGCACAAAAGTCTGCAAATTTTCTATACTTCAGTTTTTATTTTTTTATTTGTCAAGATTTTCTAGTATGTCAAAATAAAAATGAGGAAATCAAATACTTATACTTACTTCGAATACAAACATGCATTGCAGCCAAAAGGCCAACCCAAAACTGGAACTAACTGCTCCAAATTTCTTCCAGAGTTTCTGCTTTAATTCTGCATGAAGTTGTTAAAGTAAAATACCATACTCATTTTATTTGATGTATTTATTAAGCAGTATTAAATAAGTTTAAGAATATTACTTTTATTTAAGATTATTACTTTATCCATTCAGTACTTTTGTAGCTTTTTGTGTTCCATCTGTGCTTCCATCATTCAACAATGTTCGACAATATATTATGCATAATTTATCTTGTTACTGATTATTTCATTGCTGACAATTACAATAACTCACATTTTTGTTATCAGTTATATTTGACCATTTATTTTACATAGGGATTAAAAATCAAAAGTGCTATGAGTATTTCTATTTTAGAATTGTTCAGAACCTAAAAGCTTTATAACAATTTTTAAACTACTACATTATTACAGAGAGTTTCAGTATCCTCCGAGTCACTCAAGATCCAACATCATGTTCAGAAAACAGCCCTTGTGCGATCTGTTTCATCTGGTGACAATTACTTTGTTACTATACACTTATTTATTATTTTTTTGTCATTATATAAAGCATAAGATGTATAAGAAACGTCATTATAATTGCCTAAACACTTAACTTTTAGGTATTTTTTGTAATCCACCGTATTAGTTTGAGTTTGTTAACAAACCATGAATTTCTTACTGAGACTCAGTTCGTAAACTGATGTCTTTTAACTTTTGTAACTGGTTTTCATCAACTTTTAAATTTGTATATTTTGTCTTCAACTTAATTTCATTTCTTTAAAAATTATTTACTTGGGCAAAATATATTTTCAGTGATGTCTTAAGCTTATTTTAATGTACATTGCTAATAACTGCTTAACTAAGTTGTGTTATGTAAGTTGAGCTGAATTTTATTCTGCTTTTGTCTTACCTTGTATTTGTTTTCAATAAACTAATAAAAACTTTCAAAAACTAAAAAATATTAAATTTTTAATGTTTAAACGTTTGATCCTTAATGGTGTTTACATTTTGATTCCAGTTTGGTACGACTATCATTGATAATTAACTGTTTACTACTGTATATTTTTGATACTAAATAGGAATCGTTAGCTGAGTGCATTCATACCACCACAAAAGATTGAGAATTATCAGAATCCTTCATTTCACAATTTATTTTAAAAGTAATTTCAACAATGTTAAACTAATTATACAAATATTAAATACTAATTTAATCAATCATTTAACAAATTGGCTTTAGTTGATGCAGTAAAAAAGAGATGAATAGTTTATTGCCATCAAAGCTCTTAGGAATTGCTAAGTTTTAAAAATAAATGAATAAAACATCCTTTTAGAGCTCTACTTTTTTTCCATGATTATGAAATAAGTTCCAGAAGAATTAGGGGGCCTTAATCAGATACCTAGTGAGCCTATCCTCGAAAGCTCCCTTTATTTCGAAATTTATTATGTTAGAAATCTTACAAAATTATAATAACTGATATACAAAAGAAAATTACTCATTTGAATTGTAGTAAATGATATGAAATTTGATCTACAAAACTTATTATAATTCTTCCACTAAGTGCCACTAATATCTTGCTTGAAAATTCTGAGAAGAACATTTGCATATGCGGATAGTTAACTAGTCAATTAGTGAGTTAACTATTAGACAAACGAGTAGAAATGCTAAAATAACCTTAAAACTAAAAAATAAGCAGTTTTTCTTACAGCTCAAAAGTAGGGAAGTGAGACATCTTTTCCTCATAAATAACACTTTTTTAGGGGTTGAAACATTTAAAGATTCCTGCCTTAGCTTTAGCAAGATGTTAGCTTTATTTCTCAACTAGTCCCTTTGTATGCTTTCCTCTCTATGAAAAGCGAGTTCCTTGGACAGGAAAAAAATGAGAAAAGCTACTTGTGTTGTTTTGAGTCTAAACACACATGTTAAGTGTTTAGTATACATTTTAAGAAACTGATTTTGCAAGAATACTCTTAATCATATTTTGGAGCATTACTTAGTTCAAATAGATTTTATGTTCATTCTAATTCTTTTTTTGTGGTGCATTCTCTGCTATTCTTCAAATTACATTCTTGGATTAAATGTATGATTTCAATAAAATTTCAACGCAGAATTTGTTTCTTAAACCTTGGATACTCTCACAGCATGAGAGTGCAATAAAGCGTTCTAGATACAATACTGACATAATCATTGTCATAATTTAATTTTCTCCTCTCTGTTATCAATTTTGCAATAATATTTACTTGGAAATTATGCATTTGAAAGTCGGATTATTTTAAAAAGGTTTGAATATATTTAATTTCATAACGGAACTATAGAATGTTCGTCAGAATTTTATAGCAATATCTGTAATGTAAGATTTAGACGAAATTTCCATTTCTGTATGTATTATACTGCATAAGATTTTTTTTAAATATTATTCTGCTTGAAAGAAAAAGTTAATACAAAACAGAAGGTTTTCAAATGCCTTAATTTTCTCTATAAATATAAAATAAAAATTGTTTAAAATAATATATTGAATCAAAGCTATAATCCAAAAAACCGGGGGTCATTCCAATTTAAAAATGAAATAATGTCGTGCAACAGAGAAACATTGATAAAACAAAAACAAATTTGTGTATCTATACAGATATAATAATAATTTTTTTTTGCCCTATTTCGTTAAATTATTTTAAGAAATCAAATCATAACGATCAAGTAATCACATAATGCTACTGTGTAATAGCATAACATTTTGTGAAAAGGATATTTGATTTCACTTTTATAATTATTAAATGGTAAATAAGTTTTGTTTCCTTTTAAATAAATATACTTTTAAAATAATTTTTTTTCAAAATTGTATTCAGTTAATGCATGCAGTTAAAATAATGGGTACTAATTCATTTTAATGCGCCTTGAGACACTATTACCACAGTTCCTATATTAGAGGTACTTATTTGGTACCTATTACGAATAATTAAGCATCGCAATAGCTGTCAATCAATACCTAGTATTTACAGCTCAGAAACAGATAAGTACAAAAAATAACTATTTAAAATTCGCAAACAATATTAAGAATTAACTTTCCGCACTAATGCTAAATAATTCCTTTGTCGAATAATACTTATCGTAACAAAAAATATATATATATATATATTGATTCAAAAAACAAGTTTTTGTAAGAAACTGCAATGGTCAACAAGCAAAATACTAATTGCTTTTTTTAAGCCCTCTAAAATTTTGAATCAAATCAATGTTGATACAATAAAAAAATTTCGAAGTCTTTTTAATTTGGGTATAACCTTGTCTTAACGTTTAGAAAGGAAAATAGAATTTCAAAGCAATCGTTGAGATAAAAATTAACAAACTGTGTTAAAACAATTTACTGCGAAATAAATTAAATGCTTGCTTACGCGGGAAAAAAATTTTACTGAAAATAAGGAGTTAATTAAAATTTTGTTTAGTTAAATTTCGCAGACTTTTGAGTGAGATTATTTTAAAGTAAAATTTAATAGTATATCCTTTTAATTATTTATTTATCGGATTTTTTTCCCCTCTTGAGTATTAGCAAATATTTAGAATCGTTTTCATTTGATAACTGTTTGTTCGATAATAAAGAAACTTGTAGAAGACAATAAAGCAAAAAATTCTAGAACATTTATTGTATGTAAAAAAAAAGTAATAATAGGGTCATTCTTATTATCTTATCATTTTCCACCTTTCAAATCTTTTTGTAAATAAGATTTGATTGACGATTATACTGATAGAAAAAGAAAGAAATCTTAATCAGTGGTTAATTGAACTGACCGCTAAAATTTGGCGTCGTTATCTGAGATTAATAAATGAGGAATAAAGCAAATCAAACATCAGTATTTTTTGTATTCCTTAAATTAAAAAAACAGAGAGAGCAACAGAGAAACGTTAATAAAACAAAATATATATATATATATATTTTGTGTATATATATATATATAATTAATTTTTTTGTTGTTGCCCTATTTCGTTAAATTATTGGAAGAAATCAAATCATAACGATCAAGTAATAGCATAATGCTACTGTGTAATAGCATAACATTTTGTAAAAAGGATATTTGGTTTCACTTTCATAATTATTAAATGGTAAATAAGTTTTGTTTCCTTTTAAATAAATATACTTTAAAAATAAATTTTTTGCAAAATTGTATTCAGATAATGCATGCAGTTAAAATAATGGGTACTAATTCATTTTAATGCGTTGTGAGACACTATTACCACAGTACCTATATTAGAGGTACTTATTTGGTACCTATTAGGAATAATTAAGCATCTCAATAGCTGGTAATCAATATCTTGTATTTATGGCTCAGAAACAGAAAAGTACAAAAAATAACTATTTAAAGTCCTCAAACAATATTAAGAATTAACTTACCGCACTAATGGTAAATAATTCCTTTGTCGAAAAATACTTATCGTAACAAAAAAATATATATACGAGGGATGCTATTTATATTTCTGGCCTAATAATGAAAAAACAAACATGTAGGATCGAAATTGGTTTTATTGTTTTTCAAAATATTCTCCATGATGATCAATACACTTTTGCATGCGTTTGAACCAATTTTCAAAGCACTTTTTCCAGTCCGATTGAGGTAACTCCAAAACATGCGTTTTGAATGCATCAACCGCTTCTTCGGGGGTCGAAAATCGTTGTCCACGTAATTTATTTTTGATGTGTGGGAATAAGAAGAAGTCATTGGGTGCCAAATCAGGGCTGTACGGCGGATGACCCATCAGTTCGATCTTTCGCTCCGTCAGAAATGCCTTTGTTTGAGTCGATGTGTGAGAGCTCGCATTGTCATGATGAAGAATGATTCGCCTGTTCTTCTGCTTTTTTCGAATTTCTCCGATGACTTCTGGCAAACAAATGGTCGTGTACCATTCAGAATTGACCGTCCTGCGTTGCTCTAACGCCACTGTTGCCACATGACCGTTAATGCCGAAGAAACAGGCAATCATTTGTTTCGATGTGCTTCTTCCTCGAACAACTTTTGTTGGTTTTGCCTCGTCTTGGAAGACCCATACAGTTGATTGCTGTTTTGTTTCCGGCTCATATGCATAGATCCATGATTCGTCACCTGTGTAGATGTTATACACAGCCTTTGATGTACCTTGAACGTATTTTTCCAACATTTCCTTGCACCAATCGACACGAGCCTTTTTTTGAGCGTTTGTCAGATTATGCGGGATCCAACGCGAAAATTTTTTTTTTACGCTCAAATGTTCATGCAATATTTTATTGATGCTAGTCATACTAATGTCCAAAGACGCCTCTATCTCACGGTATGTCACATGACGATCTTGCTTTATCAGTTCACACACAGCATCGATCTTTTCTGGCACAACAACGGATTTCTGCACGGGATTCTGCACGATTAAATTCGTTATACCAATTTTTTACAGTGCTGTAGGGTGGCGTTTTATCGCTGAATAAAGAATTAAGTTCATCGAAGCACTCTTGTCTTGACAATCCACGTCGAAAGTTATGAAAAATAATGGCACGAAAATGTTCACGATTCAATTCCATTTTTTGAAAGAGAAGAACTCTTCAATTTACTGTCAACAACACAAATGAAGCTGGTAAATCGTCTGCTGAATTTATGTTTAAAAATATCAAACTTTCGATTAAAATCGTCTGCGGTCGCCTAGCAATACTTACTGTTGCCAAGGCCAGAAATATAAATAGCAACCCTCGTAATAGTACTATACAATAGTTTACTATAGAATATTGGGCATTCGTCATTCAGAATTATGAATAATGAACAATTATGCAAAGTCTTCCTGAATAATGAATAAAATACTTTTAAACAAAAAGTGTGCAAAATACTGTAATTGATTATAGCTGTAATTAACTGCCAATAAAAAATCGATAGTAATAAAATACTTGTAATCATGATTACAATCAGTGGCGTACGCAGAATTTTTTCATAATTTTCAGAAATTACTAAAAGAAATTCGAGTATGTAAT